TTCTCATGAGCAACTGTAGGATGAGTAAGAATATTTCCATTGTGACATAATTGAAGTAAAAAAAAAAAAGTGCAATTTTTTTTTCAAATTGATCGTTGAATGACAAAAATATGTGGCAAATCATCAGAAAAATAATGTAAATACATGTATAATATATGAATGTAATTTGATCATTCATGAGGTACATGAACTACAACGCTTCATGTCTGCATATTTATCATGAAGCGATGTCGCATGTCCTCATGAATTCTCAAAAATCAAATTCATTTCTAAATGGAAAACCGTAGTATGATGTTACCTTCTAGAATGCCCGACTACTCCTAGTTTATGTCAAAATATTCCTCCAGACAGTAGTTCAAATTGTCAGAAATTAAATATAAGGTATTTAGTCACATTTGGTATTTGGTAACGTAGTATGAAAATTTTATCATTAGCTTAGTGATGAAAAAAAAAAATAAAAATATTACAAAATATTTAAAAGAAATTCAGGTTAAGTATAAATCAAAATAATATTTTCAATTTTTAAGATAGGGGCTATTTTCTTGATTAAAAATTCTTTCAAAAAATTCTGTTCCTTTTTAGAAAAAGGGACTTTTTTCTTTGAAACAGATAGGATACGGGCGATAAAGTTCTTCTATACCAATACTCACAGCTACTAGTATATCGTGACGACAGTTACTTAAAATATGATGAGTTTGAAGTTAACTTAACAAAAACTCAATGCTGATGTACACTTTTTAATTTTCATGTTACACAAATATTATGTCCTTGGGAGTTCTGTGAATTTAAGGAACTTATTTATACAAGAAACGTGACCTATTTGACCTATTTCACAAAACACCAAGGCACTCTTAAATGATATTTCGAATTTTGGTAACTTTTCTTAAACAGTTTGATCAGATTCTTTAAAGCTTTGCGGGGAAACAAAAGTATCAAAATTCCATTCCTTTCCTTACCAAGACTCTCCATTTTCTTTTAAGTTATATGTAAATGACAAATAAAGTGTATCATTAAAAACAATGATAAACTTATAGATATTTCCTTTAAAGATATTAGTAGTGTTTATAATCCTCTGTCCAAAAAGGAAATATAAATGGTTTAAATTCTCTTTACAGACCTCGCAGACTTCAAAGTCTCGTTAGCTTTTTCCACTATACCTGTAGCATTTGTCATCTAGGCCGACATTTCCCAGAGGTTCGGAGCTAAACATTAAAGATTATCTAAGCTGTATTTTCCATTAAAACATACGGGACCTCTTGTGAGAGTGCGAAAAGACAAAATGATGTATTACTCTCATAAGAATTTTTCTTTTAATTTTTCCCTCATTTAGCATCAACTTTGATAAAACTGATTTTTTTTTTGGTAGAAGAAACAATTACTTGAAAAAATGTTTGTTGGAGAAAGCAAATATTAATTCGCATTATGCATGTATATGAAAGAAAGAATTTTGTTTTACAGCACCGCATAGACCAGCAAAATCGTGATTTTTATAGCCCTTATGCATAGAAAAAATGTATCTTATTAAGAATATTTGTAGTCAGGGTACCATGTCCATCAATGGGTATCTATTGACGCCAGTATGTGACGTAAATACAAGCTGAAAGTGTTTACAACGATGACAGTACTACGGTGTCTTAAGTACATGAAATTAAAAAAAAATGGCGAGGGGGTGGAGAGGGGACGAGGGGTCATGATTTTTTTTATTTTCTTGATCTTTTTTATCGTGTTTAGTAAATATTGGAAAAAAATTATACCGGGTTATTGAACATGGAAAATTATAAACCCTAAATGTGGTTATTAAAAGTATAAATAACTTTTAACATTCAGTAAAAATATTTAATCGTTAAAATGTCCTTAAATAGTTCATTTAAAGTTAGTCTGTCATATTTCATCTATTACTAAGCGCATGATGTATGTGGAAAAAGATGTAAATATGTCATTCTATTTTTTCTCAAGGTCATATCAACGTCACTACATTCTCCTTATCTTTCTGGTCACTTTCTGTTTCTGTTTTATAGAAAGCATATTCAAAATTTCCAGTACAAATTAATAAAGATATTTTAACTAAAACTATGCAAAAATTACTTCTTTTTTGTAAGGACCGAGGTATTATTTTATTCCAGTTACTTCTGATTTTTTATTCTTCAATTTATTTTAACAGTATTTTTTTTCCTATACTTTTTTTAACAGATAGCGTATACTTTCAATAGATTTAGATGCTGATAATGGAACATACTGGAATGTTTTAGTAAACAAGTTCATCGCTTACTGGCATATCTAAGCCAGTATTGATTAAGAATTTATTTTTCCTCATAAAAATTGTAGAAGAATGATATAATGAAATTCTAAAAATTATATGACATTATTATTATATCTCAATTCAAACATTTTTTGTTCGTAATGTGTTGTTTGTTTTGATTTTATACCTGATTGAAATCATGTGTCTGCGACTGGGTTTATTTAGTTTGTCTTCTTTTTTGTTTATTTTTGGGACAATTGTTTTTGTTTTTGATTGTTTTTTTTTTTATTATTTTTGTTTTTTGCTTATTATTTTGTTTGATTTTTAATGGTTTTTATTCATTTATTAACTTTTGTTCTATTAATTTGATTTTATTTGTGTGAGTATTAATTGTTCGGTTTATTATGCTTCTGATTTGATTTGATTGTTTGTTAATTTGTTATTAATTTGTTTTCTCCTGTTTTTTTTTTTTTTTTTTTTTTTTTTTTTTTTTTTTTTGTTTCATTCTTAAATAATTTAATTCTAATTGTAACACGCCATTTGATTGGATAAAAAATTTACTTTATACGGTATAAAATGGGTAGCTATTAAATTCATTCCTTAAACAGAAGCGGAAAACCCTGTTTCACTAAATGCATTTTCAATAAACACATACTGAATATATCTGATATATAATATGTTGAGAAGCAAAATTAAGATTTTTCCTGAATACACAGAGAGGCTTTGCCTTTAATTTTTATTTTGAGATAAAATGTTTGTTGTATAGAAAAATATTAAATTTTAATTTATAAAGTATTATGCATATACTTTGATTATAGCAAAGGAAAATTAATTCTGCAAAAATCAGACTGATTAAAAAGACATGAATTCGCGTGTATGTCTTCTTCTTTTTTCCTTCTTGTTTTTATTATCTTTATTTTTTTTACTTCTATTTTTTTAAAATATATTTTTTCAACAACAATAAATTGGTAGAATTTTGTAAAATATTGTGAAAATAACAGAATTTTATACATTAACAAACTTTAAATTTCATATAATAATAATTTAATCTAGTATGAATCTTTTTCTAGAGTATTATAATAGTAAGCTGTATGGAATATTAAGAAGTACTGAAATTGACTACTAGAAATCATTTCATACTAAACTAGCACAACTTTCGCTTTTCTCACATGTTCACAATATGTATGTTTTCTTAATGTGGAAATTAAACTATTTCGGATTGGCACAGTTTTTTAGCATACTTGCCATGACGATCAATTTCAGATTTCATTGGTTTAAAAAATTTTATTCGTGTATGTCCAACAGAGGGAAAATGAAAACATGGTAGAAGTCGCATTAAGATGGACACCTAGTGGGAAAAAGAATGACCTAGGCTGACCTGGCAAACATTTATAGTCACAGCAAGCAAGCTAGCATGCAGAGTTTCAAAAGAATGCAACATACTTAATGTTTTGGATGAGATCGAAAAGAAGAAGTAAGTAAACAATAAAATTATGAGGAAAGTTGTTAAAGATAGAGGTATTGGTCTTTTCATAATTCCCACATATATTCATTTATTGAATCTATATCAAATCCATGCCTCGAATCTGTCAATATAAGGTTTATTACTTTGTGCTGCGTTGGCCACTTTCCTTAGGCTGTGCTGACCATTTTTAGTTAATTACACTTTTTGAAAGATTCATTTATTTTATCTATAAATAAATTTATTTGTCAAAAACCAATAAAGACAAAAGAGAATTGTCTTCTTTTTTCTTGTTCAAAATTTATTAAGTACATGTATATCCTTGAAATGTAATCTTTCTTTGCTCTCCAATAAACTGTATAATAACTTTATAACATCACCTTTGCCAAGTTTTCATTCCACGTTTACGTGATTCTTCCCATCCAGGAATGGACTTTGAGATTTGACGATAATAAATATGCTTCGTACAATCAGAATAACATATTATTTAAAATAAACAAAGCAACAAGAAAATCAAATATTTGTATATAATTTAAAAGACACAATTAATAGTTTACAAGGAAGGGTAGTAGTATTTGATTCCATATTCTCTTTAAATTATCACAGGGATTTTTTTTTTTTTATCAAAGGTGTGGCAAATTTATTTGATTCAATTACTGTATCTGAGTAAACAAAATCTCTTTTATTTTTTTATAAATACATTTGCATTCGCCCGCTACATTTCAAGAGGGAGAGATTAGAGGGAAAGACTTTTTCAAAGTTTAAACATATCGCCTACACGAATTTTTCAAGAATTGCAGCAAATTAAAGAATCAGCGCACCTGTCATTTAAAATTGTTTTAAACTGCTTATCTGTATAGATCATATTAAATTACTCAAAATATTGTTTTCTTTATTTTAAATATTTTTTTGTTTATAAATACTTATTTTACAGGGAGGGGAACCGTTTCCCTGTTGCCATAAATCAGACAGTGAGTTTCTTGGTCTTAACCTTATCAGCCATAACTTTCTTTCAGAATAACAAGTACTGTATTTTAACAAGAACAATACCAAGAATTGCCGGGTTATCGAGGGTGCGAGATCACTGCAGGATGATAAAGACAATTCTAATTGGTTATCTGAATAGAAAGGGGTGGGTCATTCCTTATCGAGGCTTATATCCCATGTTTGCTTTACTCTGTCCTGCGTCCATTACACACTCATTCCGTGATATAGCTGTGAATATATTCTTGACATTTTAAAGTGTCACTGTTTAGTTAGACGTTAGCACGTCGTAAATCTTTGTTTGATTTTTAGATTTTTGCTTTTTTATGATTCGGAGTGCAAATATTTAGTGACCAGAATTGAAATTGATATGAACACTGTCTATGATCTGTTACTTCGTGCCTAATGGAACCAGTTAACGTACAGTTAGCTCCCTTGATGCATGATAGTCTTTATGATCTACATGGGGGATACAACTATACACCTTCTCTGTGGGGACATAGGGAGGAGAGAACATTTAGCAGTCATCAGACTGAGACCTCCTCCAATCGAAGTGAAAACTCCACACGGACAGAAAACAAGAAACTACCCCCAGATAATTCTGGATCCGCCACTGAAAATACAGGTAGGAAGTAAATAAGAATTTATTATGGCTTCTCATATGTATTTGTTTCTTTAATAGGAAAACATATATGGTTAAATGTATTATAATTTTTTTAATGATAGGATAAATTGAATAAAAGCCAGAAGTAGCTAGTTTGAGTAGTTAAATTAAATAATTACAATGTCATTTGATTGTTGATTTGTCCTATTGAAGGTTTTAAAATCACTTAAATGTTGCAAATATAAAATTTGTAATATGGCGATTTTTTCTCAAAACATTTTCCTCCTTCTTTCATATGTATTTCAATGTTTATTTAAAAAGGTAGATAATTTTAAAATTTCAAATCATCTGTTATGTACATCAGCAATAGAAAATAAACATTAATTTTCATTCTATTTTTTAACACAGATGAAAATATTCTTTATTATGTTAGAAAAACTTTCCTCTTTTGAAAATTAAAAAAATAAATACAGAAATTTAGGTTGTTCGTTGTATTACTCTATGGCGTTTTTTAATTGTATTCAATATGTTTTATCTAATGCATATTTTAAAAAAAATAAGAAAGAAAATACTGTCAAAATAATTTTAATATCTTTTGACACCTTGATAACAGCAACATGTATTCCACAAGAGACATGTTAGGAATGCAAAAAATATGTGAAAATACATGAAAATAAATGGACACAGCAATTTGTCTGAGTGTTAAGGCTCTGTTGTTATTTTCTTTTACATTAAAAATGTGAAATGAGGATTGTAATAAAAATGATTTGATAAATAAACAAAATTAAAAAAAAAAACTCTAAATGTATGATGCTTGTTCAAAAATAAAAATAGATTAGTCTTCTAAACATAGGAAATAAAAATTATCAATGAACATTACTCATTATGAAATAAGATCTCTATTTCATGAATGAAGAAATGTTAAGAACAAAGACCCACCCTTTAATGTTAAAACAATGATTTAAGACTACTTCAGCCATGTCCAGCAATCAGAGCTAACGGGTAACTCTGGCAACGGATTAAGAAAATTCCACGTAAATAACTATGGCGTCAATTTATCTTGGAAACCCGTTTTGAATCAATATATTTAGTTCTCCATATGGATATTTTATTAAGTTTATCTGTTTGGTTTGTGATCGACAATATTGCTGAGAATCTTGTGGACAAATATAAGATACATCAGCCCATTCGCCGTAGTCGGGGTAAATCAATATGGCGGCATGTTTTTTTTATACTCAGTATTAAGCGAGGATTGACGTTTCACTTCATCAGCAAGACAAATTCCGTGGATACTGTATTATTCGTTAAGTGTGTTTAATCTTTTCATAATGACAAAAAGAAGACAATGTCTACGCGGATCAATGACTATGGTCGTCATATTGTACTTAAGTGCTTGACTCATCAGAAGCGATATTCTTACATGTAACTTATTAATTACATGGACAAAAATTTTATAGCTGCCTCTATGCCCCCCCCCCCCCCAATTACATATACATGTTTAATTTATATTAATAAGTATGTGCTTTCCCCCGAGCTTGATATGCAGTATTGAACAGGGAATTTTACACTCAGTGAAATTTGTGACTATACATGATTCATATTAAAAAGAAACTTTCATGCAAAAGAAGAAAATTATATGTTTATTGAAATAATATTCATAAAATCTTTCTTCAAATTCTAAATTACTTGAATGAAATATGTGAAGATAAGTTAACGAACAGTATTCGAGCTCAAAAGTCCATTAAACATTACAATATAGGAGCAGAGCAAACACGGACCTCTAAGACATCAGAGGTGGGATAAGGTGCCATGGAGGTGTGAGCATCCCCTGCCGACCGGTCACACCCGCCGTGTACTCCTTGTCATGATCGGGAAATAACGTCGACAATTCAGTGTGTAAATAATTGCCTAACAATTAGTATGAAAAAAGTCAGTAAGCATTTGACTTGATGAAAGATTGTATTTGAAATGAAAATATACAAACGAGGGTTGAATCAAAAGTAATGTTTTACTGACAATAGAAGACAATGGCAAACTAAGAACTAAACTGAATGACAAACCGGATAACTTCAACTTTTCCATCGTCAACTTCCCTTATCTATGTAGTAATATTCCAAAATCACCTACATATTGCGTTTATGTCTCTCAACTGATTTGATATGCATGCTCTGTATAAGATCAGATTTTAAACCGAGGCAAGCTGCTGACAAATAAGTTGATGTCACAGGAATATCAAAATTCCATTTAAAGTCAGCTTTCCACAAATTCTAGGTTCATAATAATGACCTTGTTTGCAAGAGGTCTTATTTAGTCTGACATGTTTCCATTTATTATTATTTTTAATTACTTATTATTATTATCTTTATTATTATTTTTATTATTATTATTATTATTATTATTATTATTATTATTATTATCATCAATACTTTTATACTAAATTTGAAAACGGAGTACTCCGTATACCTGATCAATAACACGGCTCGAGGCGGTTGTGACCGGTCGACCGGAGATGCTTACTCCTCCTTGGCACCTGATCCCAACCCTGGTGTTTCCAGGGGTCTGTGTTTAGCTCTGTTCACGATTTGCTTTGTTTAATGGATTTATGAGATTGATCACTGTTCGTTATCTTCACGTTTTACATGCTAATAAATCTTTAATAACAGGAAGTCATCAACAAAATGTTGCATACTAATATATGTACCTTTATCTTTTTTTGGACTGCTACATAAATAAATCATTTAGATACATATAATACTTTTAAAAATATCAATGAAAACACAAAGCTATGATAAGTCTTTTGACAACAACATTACCGATGTCTATATGACGTCACATTTCGAAACTTGTTTCACTTTAATCACAAATCTACATATATTAATCTCTCACTTAAGTTTTGCAAGAATCTTCACTTCCAAATTGCGATAGAGTGTCTCGCTTTAAGATGTTTTATTAACATTATTTGAACGTTTTAAGGTTTATTTCCGTAATCATCCATGTAGCATGGGTTTGAAGAGTAAATGACGTTAAAGATTGACTGTTCCTTCACGCTCATTCCTCGTCTTTTCCTCTGAGGTTGATGCCTGATAAAACGTCACTACTTGGAGTCAGACATTTTTACTACAAATAAAATTATTGGAATGATAAACTTAGTAAAAATTAAAAGAGACGTAAAATGCCTTTGTAAAAAGGAAGTCAAAAGATGAACAGAGGCACAGAAAAAGAAATAATGTGGAAGATCAGTCAACCTTTAACATCACTATCTCTTGCATTCAATGCTACACACAGAAAAATAAATATGGAAATGAACTTTAGGACATTTCAAAAAATTTTAATATAGCGCAAATTGGCGGTGAAAATTATTAAAACGCAAGCAAATTGAAGCGCATTTGAGTGGTTTAACAGATTCATGGATGAACTGAAAATGAGTTCCGAAAAGAAACACCATTTAGATGTCGGTAACATTTTTGTCTTGCGATAATAGACGTAAGCTAGATTTGTGAGAGTTTTTATTTTCTTAAAAGTATTCAATATATCTGAATGAAATATTTGAACAAAAGTAAAAATAGAGAAAAAGCCATGTGTGTAAAATTTTACTGATGATTTCCTTTTATTGAAGATTTTATAATGACGTTACATTATGATCAGCCCTCGTATTCAGAAATATAGTAAGTAAGTAAGTAAATTATTTATTATAGTGACATGTGTCTTGATTCGATTATGCAATGTATTTTACAACAATAAACTTCGTTTCCTACACCCGGCCCAAAGAACCTATGTCACTGTAAATATTTTGATAATATACATGTATATAGGTACATAATAAAGATAGAATGATATTAGAATGTTCCTTTTGTGAAGTTTTGACGAGTTTTAAAAGCATCGAATATAAAATTAACATGATTGTCTAGGAATTTTACAAAAAAATATGAGAAAAAAATGTATCATCTAAAGACAAAATAGATAAATTTTTGAATCCTATTTTACCAAAAAAAAAGTCTATCCCAGTCTATACATGCTTGAGAAAGTTTTCATTTCATATTACATGGTTATTTTAATTATAGAATGGCCACAGGAAGTGAAGAAAGAACAAACGGAGAATACTAAATCTGACAGTACACAGAAACAGTCACAAGTGGCGTGTACACTCAAGTGGTGAGTACAACTTGATCTATAAAGATAAATATAGGTACGAATACTAAAAATGAAAATGGAAGAACAAAAGCATGATTTAAATCAACAACATTTATTAGATTTATCATTTAAATGATATTGCTTTAACGTATGACAGTATTTGCTTGTTTTAATTCATTTTATTCAAACCTATGTAAATGAATAGAGAATATGAGATCCTGCAAAATAATAGCATTCATTTAGCATAAACAAAAAACTAAACCAATGTAGAATAGATAGGTAGATTATATACGTATGTAACACAACAACAGATGACGTGTTTGTAATATTTCCTATCTATGATGAACTCAATTTTCTTGTTAATTTTTTTCATGATTTTTTAAATTAAAAATATCAATTATTCTACGAGTGAAGGATGATCTCTCAAAAAAATATATATATATTCAAATAAACAAAGGTATAGATATTACTACACATCAAAGTAATAACTTATATCACCTTTAAATGAAGTAAATATGACTAATTCTGGCAGTAATAAGTACTCCTTCCAGTAATTAGCTTCTAACATTTATTGTTAAGATCCTTTATCATGGTAACTCAATACCGTGCAAATGACCATTTTGACATGTCTATACTAAAGATACAATATGCTCCCAGGTAGTAATCTAAATTGACACTGTTAATGTATCTTTTTTTTCAATGATCCAAATGGAAATGCAAATTATGCATTATATTTCTAATATATTTATTTGTTGTTATGTTTTATTCAGTAAAATATTTATTTAGTAAATTTATACAGTACCAAAAAACTGACCGTAAACAAGACATAGGCATCAGCTAATCATCACATATAATATTAAAATCTCGAAATTTTATAATTCAGTCCTCTTTTCCAGTTATTTGAAATTTATGAAATATTGTTTTTTATTTATTTTTTAAGTAGAAGTCAGACAGGAGAATTAGGCTGACGGGGTTTCTAGTATTTTATCTAAGATTGTATGAACAGTATCTCTTCTCTACTTGACGCTTATAAAACTGGTCTGGGTCTTTGTATATTTAAAAATTTAGTGAACAAATTTGAATTCTATTCTTGAGTGAAAAACTGTAATTGTTTAAGATTTATAGAAAATAGGGAACGTGTTTTATAATTGTCAAATCAATAAATAAACAATAAATATTACAAAAAATGTACAAAGTGAAATTGCTTTTGATTATGAAATTTCATTCACATAAAGTGATGGTGATAAAATAAATTATCGTATACTTGAATGGCAGGATTGTGTGTGTGTCTAATTCTGTTTTAACGAATGTTTAAATTATGTAAAGAATTATCCAGGATCAATTTCAAGTGACTCGTTTTAATTAAATTTATTAATTAGTTTATGCATATTCTTTGCACCTCAAACAATTGTCAGTGTTTTTGATGATAAATAAATAGTATTTATCGTACTAAGTATTTTAATTCTTTCAAATCTTCAAGAATTTTGTTATTTTTACTTCTCTGTCTCTCATCTTTAAGTTCATGATAAATTGTATAAGGTTTATCCATACAGCTACGCAAAAAAACATATTTATAAACTAACACATAATAACGAATAAAATTTATTTAAAGGTAAATATACATCGGCTTGATTTCTGATATCTATATTTCATCAATTCTGCTTTCTGTCAGGTAAATTCTCGCACAGGTGTGAACACTTATTAAATCTGACAGATGGTCCACGAGTTGGTGGGGTAATTGACGTAGTGTTGGGGTCCTATATTGTAGAGCTGTCACAGACGCTCATGATGTGGTGCTCATATTGAGGAGTTCGTGTGAACACTATAGAGAGTGCTGATAGCTATACAACAGAGCGCATCATGTTTTATTAAAACGTGTCTGACTAGAGTGTCCAAGCTTGAATTTTTTCGATGCTGAATTTAAATAAACTTCCGATGTAATTACATATTTTTAAATGTACTTCATCAATGTTTTCGCCTGAAATCCCTCTATAGAGATTTAATGAGGTTATTTTCTTCATGTTTTGGTTTTGATAACTTAATTTTTTTGCTAGAAATTTAAATTTAAACAGTTTGAAACTAGTTCATCTTTGTTTTGATTGTACCGTTATTTACCTGATAATATGGTATTATGAAATATATGGAGATAACGAACAGTATTCAAGCTCAAAAGTCCATTAAAAATACAAATTTTGGAGCAGAGCAAACACGGACCTCTTAAACATCAGAGGTAGGATCAGGTGCCATGGAGGAGTGGGCATCCCCTGCCGACCGGTCACATCCGCCGTGTGCTGCTTTTCATGACCGGGTAATAACGGGGAAAAAATCCGTCGACAATTCAGTGTGTAAATAATGGCCTAATAATTAGTATGAAAAACGTCAGTCAGCATTTGACTTAATGATAAATTGTATTTGCTAACAAGGTCGTTGTATCGACCATAGAATGAAATATATGGAGATAACGAACAGTTTTCAAGCTCAAATTACAAAACAGGTGAAGAGCAAACACGGATCTCCAAAGCATTAGAAGTGGGATCAGGTGCCATGGAGGAGTGAGCATCCCCTGCCGACCGGTCACACCCGCCGTGTGCTCCTTGTCATGATCGGGAAATAACGGAAAAATCCGTCGACAATTCAGTGTGTAAATAACGGCCTAACAATTAGTATGAAAAACGTCAGTCAGCATTTGACTTAATGATAAATTGTATTTGCTAACAAGGTCGTTGTATCGACCATAGAATGAAATATATGGAGATAACGAACAGTTTTCAAGCTCAAATTACAAAACAGGTGAAGAGCAAACACGGATCTCCAAAGCATTAGAAGTGGGATCAGGTGCCATGGAGGAGTGAGCATCCCCTGCCGACCGGTCACACCCGCCGTGTGCTCCTTGTCATGATCGGGAAATAACGGAAAAATCCGTCGACAATTCAGTGTGTAAATAACGGCCTAACAATTAGTATGAAAAACGTCAGTCAGCATTTGACTCAGTGATAAATTGTATTTGCTGACAATGTCATTGTATCGACCATAGAACTTACGAAATGACGACTTTAAACGAGACTGTTGATGTCCCTGTTTCATCAACTTGCTTGTCAATAATTTACCTCGTTTTAGAAATTGTTCATACGTAGAGCATGCTCTTGCGTATCGAATCAACTGAGAGATATAAACCCCGTATGCAGGTGATGGAGGTATATTGCTGCATAAGTAAGCTAAGTTGACGATTGAAAAGTTAAAGTCATCACGTTTATCATAAAGCTTGGTTGTTAGATTACCATTAACGTCTTTTTCTAGTAAAATATCCAAATATGAAACTGATGTGTCAGATTCTGTGGGAATTTTTAATTTCAAGCTCACTGGAATATATCGTATCGACATACGAATGGAAATAACCATTGTTAATTAACAATACGTCGTCGATATATCTAAATGTCGAGCTGAAGAACACAGCAGGTGTTTTGTTCCTTTCACGTACAAGATTCTGAACAAATTATGCTTCATATAAATACAAAAATAGATCTGCTAATAACGGGGCGCAATTGGTACCCATGGTAATTCCAACAGATTGTTGGAAGACCTGGTCTCCAAAAACCACATAGATATTGTCAATCAGAAACTCATGCATCTTTTCCATATCAACTTCAGAGTACTTGTGTGTACAATCAGAATGTTTTTTCACAAAATAATTTTGCAAATGACCAATGACAAGATTTACGAGTTCCATTTTTATTGGAAAAGCAGCTGTCAATGATATCAAAAAGCCTGGACTTTAATTCATTGTTGGGAATGGTTGTATACAAAGTTGAAAAGTCGTAAGTTTTTATGTTGTTGATTTTGGTAAAATTTTGGGATTTCAAATTTTCCAAAAGTTCCTTGGAATTTTTAAGTATCCACATCTAATTTACACCACTTCTCGAATTTATTGTTGCACAGTACTCCTGAAGTTTCTCCTTCACTACTTTTAATATTTTAGTGAAAGTAAAGAGAGAGGCTTTGTAGAACATTTACTGGAACCCGCTATGTATCTTTGTAAGAATTTTTATGAAGTATCGGAATCCAATATAGATATGGTAATTCAAATTCATGTTGGTTGTTGGGAATATTTAAAATATTCAAAACTGACGTATGATTTTGAAGAATTTCCTCCTTAGAAAGGAAGCTATTGGTATTAGTTGGGTGTAAGTAAAGAATATATCAATAATTACAGATCAGACTGCATTCAGAAGAAACAAAACAAATTAAGTTTATTTGCTTGTATTTAAATGAGAAACCCAATATTTAATTGAGAAAAAAGGATACATTTCACTATATTTACAAGCAAATGTTTTGAAATAAATTATCTAAAATATTCTCTAATGAATGGTTCTCTTTTGAAATCGAAGAGAGTTATCTTTGAAATAAACGTCATTCTTCAAAGAACTATTTGAATGACCTCGGGGTCACGTATACCCCGCTGAGGTGTGGGAATATTGTCACACACAGAAGCTCACCAGCTGGTAAACCAATCGGAGTAGGCTCCAAAAATAAATAAGTTTTGGCGTACCTGAAAGGAATGTCATCATACCTGTCCTCAAAAATATCAAGTCTTATTGTCGTCTAGAATTCAAGCAATGTTGCAATTGATCTTTTTCAATATCAGAAGAGGAATTTTGATATTTTTTAAGCTTTGTGTTTTATGTAATTTCTGAGATGATTTACTTATAAAAACTGATATGTTTACAAATAGCCATCGGTGTCAAAACGTTCTAAATCTTCAAGATGTATTTTCTTATCAACCGAAGTTGATATCACAGATTCTTTTGTTATTGATTTATATCGTCCACTTGTTGTTTAAGGTGATTTTTTCTAGTTATTCTTTACACCAATAAGAAAGCTTGTCCAGGTATTTCAATTAGACAAATTTTTGTCAGCACTGGTCGAAATCTTAATATCATTAAGAGAAGATCGTTGTTTGTAAAAGATAATCGTAATGCTTTTACATTGTAGTTCTTTTAAAAAGCAAAATTTCTGCTGAATTTTACTTCTAACAAAGTACGAGCTTTTCGTCTCGTAAACGACTCTAATCATTCTGCTGTTGTTCATTTCCGTCAAAAATAACGAAATGTTTAGACACGTTACATAGAATGCTTGAAAAGAGAAGCTGCTAAATTTTGGGGAAGTCTAAATGTATATTTTTATTATTTTGCTATAAATTTCCAACTCTCCTCATTAAACATCAAGAGCATTGATATCTCAAGAGAAACAAAACCAAATAAAACAAAAACAAATACAAAACAAAAAAACAAAAAAACAAAAAACAAACAAAAAACAAACAAACAAACAAACAAACAAAACAAAAAAGGAAAGAAAAAAAGAAGAAGAAATCACTGGTAATAGAAAACTGTATCCATGATCAAGTATTGATAAACATGATATTAAAAAAAGCAAAACTTATTTTTAATTTTTGAAATTTTATATCGTATTTAGGTTGTCGGAGAACTATGAGAGGGCAGAGGGAGTTTGTCTTCCCAGGTGTGTTCTATACACACACTACCTGGACTTCTGTAAGAAGATGAAATACACACCTGCCGGGGCCGCCACCTTTGGAAAGGTAGGAAAATTAGGAAGAAATTAGACAATAAATATAACATAACGCTGCTGAGCTTAAAGTAGCACATGATTGTAACAAACTGCTAATTATGATGAAAATAATAAAGCAACAATTTATTTGATAGGTGAATCATTATATGTGGCAATTAAATCCAGAATATCTTACATGAATATTTCCAAAATAGTATAATAATAGAATATTCTGAAAGTGATATGGTCCATAAGTTTTTGTGGTTTGTGTATTTTGGAGGCAGCATTTTCTTTTTATTAAATGCATGAGTAAATGCTTTCAGTTCATTAACGCAGAGATAAAAAAAAAAGAAATTATGAAACATTTTCTTTGTAAAATAATCTATTAAAAATCCAATTTGTTTAGGTAACGGTTACCTTGACTAACTTTTTAAAAAATATTGTACTTCATTCAAAATAATTGTACGTCTCACATAATTGTTTAGAAATAGTTTATTCTGCGTAACAAAAATGTTTAATTGATATTGCAAGTTTTATAAACAAATTCAGTTGAATTGTTGATTACACACATACTGGTATCTCACTTATAAAAGTACTATACACTCTGAAAATTGTATTACAAAAAATTACACAGAGCATAAAATAGATTTTGCTAACCTCTCGTTCGAGGCATATTTAAGTGCTTTTTTGAGCAAGAATAATTTAGTTAGACAAGAATATAAAAAGTAATTTTTCATCAATCCACCCATTGTATGTTGCAAAAGAGAAACAAACAAAATTTTAATCATGTACAATGCAAGCATATGTAATAATCTACGAATAAATACACTAGACTATTTACTAACATAAATGTAATTAATTTTCCTAGATCATTCGTCAGAAGTTTTCTAAGATAACTACCAGGCGATTGGGGACTAGAGGACAATCAAAGTAAGTTTTAAAAAAACCTTTACAAATTTTATCCTCTTTTTGATAAATCTATAATGACAGAGTAGCATTATTGCTTTCACCATTGTCTGTCATATATCTATGTTCGATGCTTTTAAAATGTGATTACAACAGAATTCAACGTAATTCGAATACCATTCGCACAGTTTAGCAAAACCGATCTAAGGAGTTTGCGGGGTTGTTTAGTTGTGTATATGGGACTGAAGTGTGGTGATTGCGTTCTTCCCCATGGTTGGTGGGACGCAGTGCTCGCAGATCGGTATTGCAATATGGTTTGTGATTGACTTCAGGTAAAATTCAGCTTTTTCTATGTAGGTACCATTACTATGGCATCGGCATCAAGGAGACCTCGATCTACTATCATTCCGTGTACTCAGGAAAGGGATTAACAAGGTAACAAGTCCCCTAATTATGTGTGGAGTAAGAAGCAATGTATAAAACAATAAAAATTGTCCAAGTGTCTTATCAGTCATTTATATTAAAAATAGGTAGGTTTGAAATTTGCAAGTCACGTTCAAGTTGTGTAAGATTAGACCTGTATTAGTCACTCAAGTTAGGACGATTTTCTTAAATTTTGCACCTGTGTTCCAAACCTCGTCGAAGGTGGAATTTTAGTCGTATTCGGAATTCGTAGAGTTTGTCATGTTAAAAGCTTTCCACACTTTTCTGGACAAATTGAGTGCTTAAATTGAAAACGAAGCTTTCTACCAGCACAAGACGAATGACAGATTGTCCCAAACAAGTTTAAAACTTGAAAATAAATTTCTTAATTAAGACTAAATCAATATAAACGTGTTAAGGGGAGCCACAAACAGCGCTCCAGGATGAATCCAGGTCAACACGGAATTCAGTTTATGGATACCCTATGTATTCATTGCTAATTTGTTAGAGATATAGCTCTTCAAATATATAGTTGATAATAAACCGACCTGGATTCATCTTCCAGTGGAATTTTCTAATTCATTGCAATGTCCTACCCTTCATTGCAATGTCCTAGACTAACATATACCTTTTTATTTCAAAGAATTATTTAATACATTAAGTGAATTCAATTTAAATTATCTAGATATTATGAAAGGTAAATAGACTTTGAACAAAGAGATTGACATCCAACAGAAATATTTTCAATGTAACCTCCTGGCTGCGCCCCGTAGAATTATAATTCAGTCCTGCGGGCCGGCAGCACAAGCAGATGTCATCCGTCTGTGCAATATCTACCCAGGAGAGAATGTGAATATCGCACGGTTTAGATTAATTTACTTATGACAATTTTCTCCCGTTTTTCAGATTTTCCGGAATCAAGATAAAGACTGAGGTATCGATTCTTTTGTTTTTAAATTCAGATTATCGGTGTCTGGTAATGCCGGTTTATCTTGGGTCTATATTAGATTTCCTACCCTATAACACCTTGGATTGTCAGAAATGTTAGTGTTTGAAATTCATCCTGTGTGTCGTTTGTTTTGATAAATGGAAGGAACCGATATGGACTCCAAGTAAACAAATCGCACGTTAGATTGAAGCAAGTGTAAGCATTTTTCGGGAACTATAGCGAAGGCATCGATTTGGTCCTCGGATGCAGCCCTGTTCAAACGTGGGTCTTATCTTTTGATGGGGACCTCTCAACCGCTTGCTTTATTGTTTAGGTTTAGGGGCTAACTAAATCAAATATATGGATATTTCTGGGGTTACTTTTGATGTAGAAGGGTGATTTAATTCTGGAAATGCATTGCACGCCCTCTTCATTTATCATGGCGTGACCTGTGAGAAGATTATATAAATTGACAAAATATTTGGACAGTTTCAAGAAAATCAATATTTATATTTCGTTAGTTCTTTCTGGTATTCTAATTACATTTACGAATTTTTGGCAAATATCTAGATATACAAAATGGAATGGTAAAATAAAATCATATAAAATTCTATGTTTTCATACGCAGTATACATTGTGATGTATCCCCTGCTTGTTTAGGAATAAGAGATGTTTCAGCCTATAGTGTAAAGTCTAGAGGGAGAAGGGTTTCCTTTTCAGATTAAGTCTCCAAATTGTACAGGATGCTTAATACCTCGGCTGCTAAACATCACACGGCAACATTTATTTTCTCTCGCGATGTGTCTTCCTACCGCAAATATCAATTTATTCCAGGCATTCATTACGATAAAAGAACTATTCCGGAAATGTTAGCAAAGCCTGTGTGTTAATGCTGATTCACTCGGCTTTGTTTAAATAAGATAAAGTCTCCACAGATTAGCCTGCTTTAGCTTGACAAGGCTCTTGTTGACGATGGAAAGCGACAATTAGTGAACCACTGGACAAACACGACTCTGATCTCCGATATGTTTCTGAACGATACCCATGGATACTAAGGCATTTTTACAACAAAAATTCTATATATCAGAAAATAAGTTTCATCATTCAATCTCTAAACACTACCAAAAAGCAAAAATTGTAAGAAGATTATGAAAAGTATACGGTATTTAAGATAATGGTGGTTTAAGAGACCTTAGAAACAGTTCTCCTGGAGAAACACGAACGACCCAGTTAGGTTGGTGACACAGCACTGCAAGTGGACTTCGCGTGATTGAGACCTGGGTAATGGCGCCTCGCAGTAGAATGCATCAGCAAAGGACTTCTAATCCTATCCCAAGTGTTTATGTAACAGCTAAACAAATTGTAAATAATAGCTCATTTTACCCTTATGGAAACTATTTGATCATGATCATGTTATCAAAAACTGCAACAATTACACCTAACTTAGGAATTACAGACATTTTCTTTTAAATTTGTACCCTGTTGTTCTTAAAGATTTTGTGAGGATGTTAGAAGGCTTGATGTCCAAATGAAAAATAACCACTTCTTTCTACTAAATTATTAACTTTAATTAAATAATTGAGTTAATTGTTTATATTTGTTTTCATTACTATGATGAAGAGAACTCATGATTATATTTTAATTTGCTTTTAGGGTTCCAACAGAAAATTTTCCCTTAGCTCAAAGACCGGAACTTTACTACCAGAATTTCCAAATGCTGAAAACTTAATTTTGCCAGAAAATGTTGACAGAGAGAAGGTCTTATCTTTTTGTTTAACATTTACTTAGCACAGTGAAGTGTAAATTTTAGAGGTTGAGCTTTCATAACGATCCTTGTACAATTTCAGATGCAGACATTTATCATGATGTATCGAACTCACTGTCAAAGGATACTGGACACAATTATAAGTGCTAATTTTGACGAGGTTATTTAATATATTCTTCTTAATTTTATTGTTCTCAACCATAAAAATGGACAAAGCTTTCACAGACATTGAATAACGTGGTTTACAAAATTTTCCTTAAAATATCAATCAAACTTTCTTCATACGATTGTAGGTGCGAAACTTTTTACTACACTTCTGGCAGGGTATGCCGGAGCACCTGCTGGGGCTGCTGAATCTGGACATGGTGGCCGACATCGTGGGGCTCTGTGACTCAATACTATATAAGGTAGGCTACAAATCTAATGTAGACAGCAACCCGTGTATACATGTATACAATACGACTCGTGGCATATTCATCATTAGTGCATGTATATCGGTTTTGTAAGTTGTCAATCGTTCGTCTGGTGTAAAACTTTGGAATATTTAGCTTCTCAAAATCTGCTGATCAAATGATTGCCAAATTTGGTAGTTTAAGGTATTTTCTGTGAAAGAAAATAAAATTGTCCACTTCATGATGCTAATCCACTGGGGGCCGAGGGATGAATAAAAACCTAGAAAGTTAATGCACTCTGTCACATATTTCTACTCCTGACCATCAAGTAAAATCAGCAAAAGTCTTAACTTCCCCTAAACAACGACTAGTAATTCAAAACTTTATTTGATTTTTCTGAGGAATGTGAAACATATCTAAAATCTACCATTTGTAATTCTTTGGTATCTTTTTTATTCCTTATCATTTAGCAAATAAAGTTCATGAATTTATCTGATTAGTTTGAGCATTATACATTGTAAAAATCCTCTCCCAAGATCCAGTATTGAAAATTCAAGCTTGAGGCAAATTGGCCATACTTCGAAAATGCATGAATATTTGAAGAAAACAAATTAAACAAGTTCATAAATACTCAGAGAGGTAATGTTATTCATCTATCGTTAGACACCTTAAGGTATCAGAAATGAAAGTTCCTAGAATTTTGAAAGAATTTTATCTTTACAGGTTATGATAGATGTATTAATTCCTTCAACTATCCAAGACCTGCCTTACAGGTACTTTTTCCTTTAGTACAATGAAAAGAATTTAGATTTGGATAACGTTATTGTTCAACTGTTCCATCTTTGCAATTTTTGTCATATTTATCAAAATTTTATTTTTAATTACAGCCTGGGGTCTGAAATCAAAGTTTTTAATCGAAAATTAGTGCATTGGTTGTATAGTTCCCTTGAAGATGTACCAAAGAAGCTAAGAGACAAGAAAATAGAAGGTAGTCTGAAGAATATTATACGTATATTAAAAGAATAATATTTAAGAGTTTTTTCTGTAGAAATTAACATTAATTTTCAAATTTTAATTCAATATACACTGCTTGTAGATATTTCTGTGTATCATATGTTACATAAATATTGCAAAATGATGGATTGGACATATCCACAATGTACGGATTAAAAAAAAATAAATGCCTTTATTTCTTTTTAGATATTGTATAATGATTAGTTATAAAATAGTATCATGTTTACAGAATATAAAGGTTTATGTAAACAACATTTGAATTTCATTTTGGTGTCTTATTAATGTTTCTTAGTTTGATAGTTAATTAAGGTCAAGATCTAGTAAATGAAAGGTGCCTACTGATTTCTCAATATTGAGAAACAAATTCTTCTAATGATCTTCTACAAATGTAGCTTGGTAAAATAAGATGTATCGGGACTTAATTTTTAGAGAAACTCGATGAAAATACATATTTCAAACTGCAATTCTCAATTAAAAAAGAAGGGTCTTGCATAAATATAGGAGTTTTTTCAATCTCAGATGAAGTAAATGTATCAGCATTGCCTACAATCTCTCAGAAAATGGTTTTTCACATCTTTTTGACCTCTTCTTTAAAGTGATATTAACATGAACATAGGTAGCGGGGTTACTTCTGACATAATTTTGAATTGAATACCAGGAAAATGCTTCATTTTCTACATAATTCTATTACTGCTGTAAAGTATGGGAAAAATTAAGTTTAAATCAATTATGACGTCATAATGGAGCTAGCATTTAAAAGACAGTATACACTTATTTCATGACTACGAGGGAAACAGTCAAACTGTTGTCCCGAGGTAATGGGGAAGACCTGGGAAACTGTTGCCCGAGGCCGAAGGCCAAGGGCAACAGTTTCCCAGGTCTTCCCCATTATCGAGGGACAACAGTTTGACTGTTTCCCGAGTTGTCATGAAATAAGTGTTTTATTACCTAACCTACTATATAATTTCTTAAAGTAATGATATTGACATAATAATCAATGGCTTTTAAAATACATCGACAAAAGTTTGTTTTTTTTTTTTAACCAAACTTAACAAAATGAATATTAATCAAATTCTCGCACTGATTGGTGTAAAATCAGAAAAATTAATGTTTGTGATATTATCATGCACTAATAAATTGAAAAGAAAACATGTAGTAAACAACATAATGATGTCTTGAAGATTTGAATATTAGACGTTTATTGCAAAGATCAATACTGAGTGAAAGGGGCCTACATTTTCCCCAAAATACCCTCAGAAAAGGTGATCTTGGCCTCTTATTTGAAATGATATTAAATTAAATATATATTTATATTGGTATCAGGATTACTTTTCAGATGATAATTTCAAATTGAATGAAAATGCTTCAATTTATACATAATTCAATATTATAGCTGTAAAGTATACGGGGAATTAATTATGACGTCATAATGGAACAGTGCAGCCATGCAACAGTTCATTCTGTGACCGGATAAACAGTTTGACTGTTTCATGATTTGCAAAAACATTAAAAAGAATCAGGAAACAGTTCAAAATGCCTAATTACAATTTATATAGTAGGTTAGGTAATAATCTAAACTCATTTACTAGATCTTGACCTTAAGTATATACTAAAATAAATTCTATGAATTTTTCTTCCAGTGGCCAAACATTTTATTCACAGTATTAAACGCCAAATGTCTTTTGTGCACTTAGCGCAAGTAAGTGAATCATGTTCATTAATGAAGATCTTTAGATCTAATCACTGTCAATAATTTGGTATTTGTATATAAATACATGTGATTATATGAATCCACTTTCGATTGATCTCAGTTTTAACAAACTTTCCCTTTATCTATTTATATTATGCCAAATATGCACATTGAAAACACCCCACAAAACTTCTTGCCTTATTATTAATCTATAATGAAAAAAAATGCATAATAGTTTCTATTGCAACAGTTCAATATTTCTGACTTTGAAATCCCCTTGCTTAAATCCACTTCAAATATATTTTAAATAAAATTCAAAATTTATTATGCAATACCATTTTTTCCATATTTATTTAATGACAATAAAAGAACTGATACCGGTAAAAACCAAGATGTTACCTTAATTATTTTTTGGTTCTTTTCTTTTGTTTTGTTTTTGGTTATAATGCCATTGGTTCCAAGAAAAAAATATCTTTATGAAATCATTTGCAGACGGCCAGAAGTGTCCTTCATAATCAAGAGTGTTTGAATGGTATGCTGGAGGATGTGTCAAGTATAGATCTGACAGAGATTTGCTGTCAGGCTGGGTTCACAACCCCTAAATCTACCAATAGTCTTAAAGAAGTTATTTATGATTGTACGTACCATCATTCATTTTTGGAATTAGACTGCTGAAGGAAGTAGAGTAGAATTCAGCAAATAACACGATGTACTTTATAATTGCTGAATTTGTTTTGCACTTTTAGATAAAAACAAATACATGTAGTTTTTACTACTAATGATACACTTCCAATTTTAGGTTTCGACGAATTTCAGAATTTGCTGACCAAGCAAGCACCGATTGAGGGTTACACAGAATGGCTCGATAACATCATTGATAAATGTGTTTTACAGGTAATTATTCAAATTAGTTTGAGAGAATTATTTCGAAATCCATGTAATATACTTAGTGTATGGGTTCACTACATAGTTTGTCTCCTTTATTTCATTACCAATCGATTCGAGGCAACGTACCGCAGTCTATTATGCAAATATTGATAAACAGTAAGCTTGATTTCATTCACATAAAGTAATATATATAATTGAATATTCTTTGTCAACTTATCCAAGACGTTTTTAGTTAATATATCTTATGTTATTAGAAAAAAAAATTCCTAACTATGCTAACTTTATAAGATGATTATTTTCGTAGCCTTTAAAAGACAAAGATAAATCATTTAAAGAAACTGCCTCAAAGTTCCTTCTACACTGGGAAATCATTGGTTCTCTGTTGATGAGGGATTTAACATTACACAATGCAACAAGTTTTGGTGCGTATTTAATTTTAAAATGATATATACCTATATTTATTTTATAAATAGAAAAGCAGCATACCTCAAAATTTAAACTTTATTTTTATATGAACCAAAGTATCAGAGCAACAGTTTTTGTGACATCAATAATTTGCTTCTTGAAATGAAAAATATGATTGCAATCACTTAAGTACTATTTTAAATACCATTTGATGTGTAACGTTTTACCCTCATTTATTCCTCTCACTTACATATGTTACTCATTTTTCTTACTTTTCCGTCTCACTTATTCCTATCACATATATCTCTTACTTGTTCCACTTATTTATTCCCCTTACTTATTATTCCCCTCACTTATTCCTCTCTCTTATTCCAAGGTGCCTTCCATCTGATTCATATGATGTTTGATGAGTACGTTTTTCTCGTCATGGAAACACAACATGATCAGGTCACAGATAAAACGCTACAGAAAGCTGTCCAGAAATATATGAAGTGCGCAGGTAAAGCTTGTTTTTCATTATACTTTGTTAAAAATAAGGGGTAAAAATCGTTATTCTTTTTTTATATTAATTGAGCAAGAGTTCTCGTTTCTGTCTCTAAAAATCGTCAATGTTTTACAAAATTACAAAAAAGAATATATTGATATTGTGAAGACTTCAGTAAATGTCACTTGCTTCCCTCATTTTTTCAATGTGTTTGTTTTCCTTCTTATTTGCAAATGTATTCAAGTAAAATACTTTGTGAATAAATTCAGAGGAGATAAAAACGCAAGCCAAGGTACGGACACCATCATCCAAACATCTGGTTTCTCCTAAATGCCGAAAAAGAAAAATTGATGAAGGATCCTTCGACAGTAATGGTAAACAACCAATCAGTTTCATCCTTGATCAAAATTTTATATTTTAAACTAATTTCATTAAAAAGTCCAATACTTCAATTCCTACACAGAGTGTCAGAGACTCCTGAAAATAAAAAATGCTAATAAAATGTATTACTGGCCTTTTTTAGCTTTCAAACCATGTTCTCCCTTGAATCATGATCACCAGTTTAAATTATCTTATCATCTTTAAAGGAGAACAGAAGCCAAAACAGTAATGGAACTGTTTCTTCAAGTTAAGTACAATATTTTTTATCTACAGACGAAGGTGACAATGTTGGAGGTATGGACGAGAATCGACATGGTGCTTCCGATTCCTACTCCTCAATGAACGGCACGGCTTTTAGTCGTCCTCCTCCCTCCATCCACAGGGAACCATGTACACTGACCTTTCCTGACGAATCCTGTCGACCAGGGATAAATCATTCTTCCTTGCCATTATCCCCATTGAAACACTATTCGTCACTTAATGGAAGTGCTTATGAACGTCCGACTTACATTTCTCAGTATGGGTTAAATTCGTATGGCGATATTATGAACACCAATAACACTTTTACTACGCCTAGAGTTCAGCCTTATGGCGAAACACATATTAACTCTTTTCCCACAGTGCCTTTTACCGGAAGTGTTCCACAGGCAACCACGTCTTATTGGGCAGACAGTAGAACCCATCCTACATTTCATGAGACCTATAACCCATACAGTTACAATAAATTTCATCCTTCATACGATACCTATAATAAAAGTTCATTTTTAAGAGGTTCCACCTACCAAGATACGATCAACAGGTCTGCTTTTGAAAATTCTAGAAATTATTACAGAAGCTCCCACGACAACTTCCAAGGTACATGTTTTGACTATATCATAAAAAAAACATTGCATACATTACAAATTTTTTGCTTTGTTAAGCACGATTCCATTTCCTAGAAACAATTTTCCTAACACAATCTGTATTTTACAGTAGGAAGCCACCTTTCGATTGGAGGTTTAAATGGTCCCTATATGGATATTGCGCAGCCGCAATCACAATATCCGCCACGCCAAGACTCTGCCATGTTCTTCCAAGAAGATATATATGCAAACTCGATGCCGCCATCATTTTCTACAATCGGAAAACCTTACTTTGCAGCCGCTTTCCGATAGAAATGTATCTAAAACTCATCCTAAAATGTATTATTTATAGTTTTAAAAATCTAATTCCTCTTTCAGGGATGTAGGGTGAGGCAGAGATTCTTTGATTCTGGATTATTTAAATGACCAATTAAAAAAAAACACAAAAACAAAAAAGTGTTTCTATCATATATTTCTGATATAAATCAAATTATTTCAAGTTTCTTCGAAATTTGAAGAAAAACAAATTGTAATTAAAAAAAATAAATCAACATAAAAGTAAAATTCTTGGAATGTACTGGAAGGCAAAAACTATACTATATTTGTCTTCTATATTAGAAATATTTTCAAAGTTTACATCCAAAAGAATAAAAAACATGTGCCTGTACATTCAAATTGGGAAAAACATTTTTATGTAAAATGTTGCAAATATAATTCATATTAAAATTTACAGATGCATACTGAAGTATACTTATCATAATTAACAGACAACTGTTATGAAATATAAACTTCCACAGGCACATGACATTATGTGTTTTTCTTATTTTAAAATATATTACCCCATACTTAATAGTTCATTAAGTATGGGGTTATTTTTTTTAATAAGAAAGAACATGTAACTCACGTGCCTGTGAAATTTTCAGGTCCATGTGAAGTCAAAGTCTCGATGATGAAAACTTCAAAAAATATTATACAAATGACAAGACTTTGCATCAAAGGCTGGGGTTACGATTTGGATTACGTATATGTCTTGTAATTTTTCATTAAAAAACAGTAAAAAATAATTGAAATTTTGTATCTAAGGAGGAAAAACTCCCATATAAATTTTGTGGCTATGACTTTTTTTGATGGCATATTTAAGATCAAACAGATATGCATGTACTCCTGATGATAATTAGTCTTACATTGTTACATTTTCATTGCTTTTTTTCATAATGAAATCATAGAAACTTCGGAATGATTCTTGCATACAATTAGTTGGATTTTGTCTTCAATCAATGAGATGCATACCAATATATATCATCATAAGCCATGGTTATATGTCGTTTTCTGATAATTACATACGTCAACATGTTTATTTTGAATTTTCACTGCTTATATTTACTAATTGACAAAGACAGGAGAAAAAAAAGAGATATAGGTTTTAAAGATAATAAATCTTGAAATAGCCCCTGATGATCAATAAAAATAACATATTTCAAGCACAAAATCTTGCTATTTGCCTAATACATGTATTTAGACAATGGAGGAGCTACATGTATACACAAATCTAAATCAAGAAAGAGACAAGGACATATCGACATAGTTTTTGCTGCATTAATAATTATCACTGGTTGTCATGTACGTGAGATCACCTGAAAATAAAGATACGTTTCCTTCCTTGGTACAAACACACACACTGGACTGATTGAATCTTGTAGTCCCTGTTTTCAATCACAGTCATCAAGATAGAGCAACAAGTAAATGTCTTATATTCTAGTCATTAGATGAATTGGTTATACTTGCAATATTATTTCAAAAATCAGCAGCACGAAGAAACATCAGCAAATCCTAGATGTTTAAAGAGCTCTTCATTTTTACCTGAAGCTGAAGGTACTTTAAACCATATTATCACAATAGAATTGGCAAAATTATTGAGAACATTTATCAGCTCTGCAGAATATCCAAAACCAGAGGGTGGTCTTTCATGACAGGCCATGAACATTTTTGTTTGTCCAGTTCCTTACTGATCTCCGTCATAGTCCTGAGAGCTGTTAAGCGGTCTATTATGTGCCAGAGCCTTTGTTCTGGCTTGAAGTTTTTACGTTTTGCTAACACTCTAAAAGCATTAATCAATCTCCACTGTATTCGTTCTACAGCTTTTGGTTCCTCCAACTGACAACGATCTGTGGCCAAACAAGAAAAAGGAAATACATAATTGTAGTTTTCCTACAAGTTTATTAGAACAGACAATCATCAATTTTAGGATTCAGAAACACTACCTAGACCATTAATATTTACATTAACTGCTATTCATCCTATTTTACTTCATATAAGTCTGAAAAAAAAAATGGATTGACGTTGTTTGCAAATAGCAACGATTAAAAAACTTATTAGTCTTTAAAAATTTGAATTTGATTTCAAAATTTATCTGTCATTGTGAAATCCTTATGTTGTTAATTATTAAACTTCCTCGGATGATCGTAATTTAAAATCCAATTTTAAAGAAAATCAAAAACCTGGCAATTCAATCATGACCATGTTTATTTAAAAAACAACTAAAAATCATGGATATACTTTTAACATTAACAGAATAAAAATAATATATCATTGACAATTTATTAGTAACAAGCATTCTGAGAGTATTGCATTAGCAATACTAGTCCCCTACCGGCAAGTGTAATCTGGTTCCCGTTAAGAATTGAAAATGCTATAATTCCGTCAAAAATTAATGAAGCGGGACGAAATGCAAACTTGATCTATAACTAATCAAGGTAAAGCCACATACCAAAAATCAGCTCAATATCTACAAGCGTTAAGAAGAAAGTTGCGGAAAACCCGTAAAAATTGAAAAGGCCGTAATTCCGTCAAATATCATTGAAGCGGAACGAAATGCAAACTTGATCTGTAACTCATCAAGATACACTCACATACCAAAAATCAGCTCAATATCTGCAAGCGTTTAGGAAAAAAGTGCGGAAAACCAAGTGGGACAGACTGACAGACAGACAGAGGGACAGACAGACAGACAGACGGACAGACAGACAGACAGACGGACGGACAGACGGACGGACAGACTCAGAGGAAACCTATAGTCCCCTCCGGTTTCACCGGTAGGGGACTAATAAACTACTGCTGCTCTACGTGTCAGATTACTGTTTAAACTTACCAAATCAATTTCATAAAAAACAGGACAATACTCAAAGTTATACTAAAGGCCTATATTAAAAAAACTCAACAAAAATGGATACGGACTCAACTTGAGACAAATTGGTCTCTGATTTCAAATGTGAAGAACCAACACCAAACACAGACTGAGAACATGATACAAGATACAAAGACTTTAGAAATGTTGATATTTCCAACTCCAAGTCATCTGGGTATATTTAAGAATAATTATAATAATAGATGTGTTTTAATGTCTTTCCAAAACATATCAAGCAAAATTGACCCAACAAATCAGGACATATATTATCTCCGATTTACAACAAGAAAAACTGAATAATATAGATATGTGCAGGAAAAGTAGAAAGAAAGATACACACGTACGAGGACAAATATAATGAATGCAAAGCAGATAATGTCCCTAGCAATAACAAAGGATGCCTCTTATGGTACATACTCGCCTTACCTGCTGACGTAACAGCTATGCTACGCATCAGAAAACTCTCCTCCCAATCTAGTTTTATCTTTTGTAAGGTTGCAGCCATCTGATTAAATTGGCTGGTGATTGACTCATCAATCCCAAATAGCTTATAAACATCTTGCAGCTGTGCATCGATTAACCCCGTAACAACTTTCAGGTGAGGGTTAAAGCAGTGACAATGACCAATGAACATAAATTCAAAATGAGAGGCTACAAAGGAAAGAAATGGTAGTGCTGAAAGAAGACCCTTCTGTTTAAATTTACCTGCAGAGGTAACACTTATCCCCCGTAGAAGTAACACCTCATCTAAACACAGGTTAAGGTTACTAAAGGAGGTACTGAATTGAAATAAAGAGTCCACCATCTCTTTTTCTGCAATTTTTTCCATTTCGCTCTGATGCATATTTAACATCCCCGATATCACCCGTAATTCTGGATTTATAGTTTTATGGTTCATCAAGAAGAAAAATTCGAAATGTGATGCTGCAAGGTAAGCATTATGAGTAAAAGAAGAATTATTCAATGATACTCTTTTTCTTGATTATTGGCAAATTACAATTGTCTTTATCTTTAACAGCAAGTGTTAGAGATTTTGATTAGTTATGAGAGTAAAATCTTAAACATTTAGTTTCAAAGTCAATTCGTTTTTCAATTTTACAAGATATTGGGATCTTACTAATATTACTTATCGAAATAGGTGGTGATGGGCCCTCAATACACTCGCGTGTCATGCAAACCTGAATTCAAATGAATGACACACGAATTTCATGAGAAGAGGGGGAGAGGAACAAATTATAAGTTGCTGAAGAAAAGGATGCATGTACTCCAATATGACTGCGTGAAGCCTCTATTATTTTTAAATTTTTTAAATGTAAAAGTTTGTTATGTCAAGCAGTTTTACAACATTATTCAATGACTTAGTGTATTTTCACTGTTCTGCAAATCTTCATTTTCTTGTCTCTTAATGCTACAAAGTATTCATTAAAAGAATAGCATTTCATAAAAATTAAGACTGTCATACTTTATGTTTGCTTTTGTAAGGCAAGTCTGAATTTTGCTGAAATATGTCCAGTTGTTCAGGATGACGTTTTGTGGTAGGTACAGACAAAGCTTAAGGCTACCAACATCATAACGACAATGCTAATACCAGCATTGATTAAAAATTAAATAACATTTTTTAGTATGCATTATATTTCCCATGATGCAATAGCTCCCAACACATACACTTTATTTTTAATGCTGAAGAAAAATGAAGTACTCTCTTACATCTCAAAATGTTTTTTTAAGAAAAAGAACTTAGAAAAGTCTTAAAAGCCATCAACTAACACGGTTAATTACGATCTTTTTCGTTGAACAAATATAAATAATACGGCTATTAATATAACAATGATAAATTTTCTTTGCAAATAATGTTATTTTTCTTTTTAATTCTCCAAATATAATACCTTTTATAAGTTCCGTCTGATCAGACACAGATAGATCAGCGAATCCCGGAATAGCGCGGACAAAGTCGACCATCACAGTAAGACCATACTCCATCCTACAAGCCATTTCCTTCATCAATTCTTGTCTGTTGTCCAAGTCTATTCCCGTTTCTTTGTAAAATTCGTCCCAAACATCTTTTGGAATCACTGACATTGAACCAAAAATTTCTACTTTGGCCTTGTAGTCGTTCTAAATTAAAAGTTTACATGTAAATATACTATTTATAAGATTGAACTGCTTTATATTTTCAGTTATCCAAGATTTCTTCTAAAACATTGATTTGTCTGGGTGAACTGAGAGAACACATAATGTTCTGATAAAATGTACACAGCTAATTAATTACCTGGTATAAACTTTATACAAGTTAGAGTGTTTTCACCCTATTTAACACTTCCCAACACTTTTGACCGGTTATAAAAGTTTTTGAAAATAAACTAATATGTTTCTGTTCCCCATTTGCAATTCGTCCACTGACAACAAGGGCGAAAGATGCGAAAATAAAACGAAGGCGGAAATTTTCCTGTGTTCTGTAATTAAAACCAGCCGACTTACATAGATCTGCCATTGTCTGTGGAGGTTGGTTTCCCTGTCGAAGATTTTGTAGGCCTGTGGGCAATTCTTCAGAAGGACATCCTTCAGGGCCTGGATTATCTGGTCGACCTCAGAATCACTGATGTATGTCTCCAGATGGGAGGGACTCTCTACTGCCTTCATGTTTCTTACTTCAACTGTGTCCTTCGTTCTCTTTTCGTATGTGTATCTGCCTGTTTTAATTGCTGGAAAAACAGAGATGTCGTAATTTAGACAAATTTCTCGTTTCTACTACGAGTAAAAATTATAAAAGAAAGAGTAGCATAGTAATAATAATATTGCACTAAAATCAAAACTTGAATAATTTTGCTTAAAATAAAATTTTTGTTCTTCTTTTTTGATACAAATAAAAGTAATATGATCGATTAAATATTTTTTCTCAAGTTTCCAAAAGCAGATACATGTATTTTATTCCTTTCCAATTCGCATAAGATACTGACAGTAAAATTAAAATGTCGACATTAAAAACAATACTGTCAAAATTTTAAATCAAATATTTGTGCCTTGTACAATAAATTTTGATAGTTTAATTCGATATAAATTTCCGTCTTCATCGCTTTTGTTCATTCATATAGTAACACCTTTGACTAAAACACTTACCGTTAATTGACATGCCCACTTCCAGACATCTTGCGTATCTACATGCCGCACACGGATTTCTTTTTCCTGGCCCCAGATTACAACCGCCTCCCTTCCCTGCGCATTTATACGACTCTTTATTCTGTTGAACCTTTACGATACTTCTTCTGAAGAAACCCTACAAGAAGCGTATTGAATTAGATGTAGGTGGTAAAAGTAAAAGTATCCGAAATGTTCTTCTTTCTGGCTTCCTTTTAAGAATAAAGTTGTCTGCAAATGCCCAACGTATCACAATAAAAAAAGAAGAAAAAGGAAAACTTGGGTAGCAAAGTTCATAGTAATATAATTATGACAACATAGTTAAGTCCAAATAACTCATTGTTTTATGTTTCTTTTCAATACTAACCTTGCAAGCTTCACATGTATTAGCCCCATAGTGAAATCCAGAAGCATTGTCCCCGCACACACGACAGGGAGGAAGGAATGTTGATTTAGGACCGGGGTCTTTGGCTTTGGATACAACAGCTTTGATGGAACTGTTTTTGGCAGAATAGTTCGAGTCTTGTCCACACGGCGTATCAGGGCAGTGTATCCTTTCTCCTGTGGACGGACTACTTGCTGATAGGGAACAAGACGAATCACTCACTGCTACAGCATTGTCTACGATTTCTTCCATGATTATATCTGTCATTGTTGAAGCTGTACTAAAATCCTTAATCCCTTCCATGTCTACCAGAAATTCCACAAACTCCATCATTTTTGGAAGGGGGGTCTGAAAGATGTTTTGTATCTTTTAAACTTTGCAAATGCTTAAAGAGAGTGAGAAGTCAATCCTATTTATGCATTTTCGATAATCTATTAAACTATTTTTAATTTTATCTAAAAAGCATCAAGTCGTTCCGGCTTACATTGTTCTTTTACGCGTGTAGTAATACATTACGCGAGGTGAATCTAGGTTACTAGATTTCATTCACAAAACTTCACGGTAGAAAAACAACCTATTATGCAGCCCCTGATCCGTGAACCGTGAGAATTTGTGAATGAAAGTGCCAAGGTGTTTATTCTTTTTACACTATTTCATCTTTCTATTTTACGTGTTTGAGATATATTTGGAAGCATTAAAAGCACAAAAGTCACGATATTTGTAAATATTTACTCCTTTGAAAACTTCCGTAGACCTCCCAATGTCAAATAACCATAAAGAAAGTGCTGATTTTGACAATCTGAATATATTAATGCAATCATGAAAATAGGATACTTTTATTTTTGTTATTTTGTTGTTTAAATCTTACTAATGCAAATTATTGAAAATCGTGACTTGAAATTACAAATTTGTTTGCTGGAAACTCCACTTCAGAATTGTATGTAATCAGCATCACATTCTCATCCCGACACGTCTTCAATTCTATAACTGATCAAGTAGAGAAGCAGAGGGGGGAGATCTTTTGCTGGCAACGAATAGGTCTACGTTATCTGCTAGAAGGATGGTAAGGGGAACATTTTTACTTACTGATCGAAAGAGAAGAGAGAACTCTCCTTTAATTAATACGTCAGGCAAGTAGGATTCATCTGTCCATTTCTCTAAAGCATTTTAAAACATCTTCCAGTTCTAGTGAACGAAGCGGACAAACATGTAGCACAATTTGTGTTGAATTTATTTATATTTTTGATTTAAAATATTTTGGTCATATGTATGGATATCAGTTGATATATTTGCTTTGGCGTTTGATAAAAGTTTCCAGCTTTTACCAGCGTTAAATTCAAAATTATGTTTGTTTAATTTCTGTATATGTATTGTTGTTGGAGGGGGGGTGAAGACTTTTATATCAGTTTGTTTGTTTGTTTATTATTTAACGTCTCTCTCGACAATTTTTCGCTCATATGGAGACGCCACCATTTGCCGGTGGAGAGCTGCAAATTTTGAACTATACTCGGTACTAAGGGCCATTGAGCAGTGAGGTATTTTTTTCGTGCCAGCACCTACTGCGACCGTTTATACGGTTTCTTCCGAAGGACCGGTCTCCACATCCCCCAATGGGATTCGAACCCGCGACGTAAGGGTCAGCAACTTACTCCGCGACTCTAGAGCGAACGCTCTAACCACTGCCCCACGCGGGCGACACTTTTATATTAGAGAAAAAATACTTGTCAATCTAATGTAAACCTTCAAAAATCCCTCGTAAAAGGGTTACCTGGTGCTTTTTACAATAGTGATTGATTACCTATTTACTTGACATTGCTTGTTCTATTTTAAAAAGCGGAGGTGTTGACAAACGGAATAACGTCATACAATAAAGTTTGAATTTCAAATTTTAATAATGACAAATTATTTGGTTTGTTGATGAAACGACGGTAAGCACTTTTTCCTTGTCTTCATTATCATTGCTTTTTTGTATAAGTGTGATTTCGAAATTCCAATTAGGCAGGTGCATGCAGAATATATATAATTACTGTGGAAGCTATGGGTGACAGAAAAATTATGGTAGAAGGTCCCATAGATTTTTAAAGGTTTGATCTTCAGCAAATTAAATCTGATTTAAGAGAGATTTAGGTGTTAAATGTGTTTGACTAATTATTCATAAATATGAGGGAACCTGCACAATGAACCAAACATATCTACTGTGACCGAATCTATAGGCCCACCGGAAACAGTAATGAAATCACAAACTGTCTAATAAACATCTTACGTTATTTTTATCTTTTTGTATATTTTTATTATTTTTAATGTCTTATTTTTGAGGGGCACAGGTGTAAATTAGATTTATTTCTTATGTACAGAATATACTTGCTTAATATTATTGAAGGAACACAACTGTAAATTAACTTTGTTTTCTACAGTAAAGTATATGTAAATTGGCAAAATTAGGGGGCATCTTCCCTCTCCGGTTCCTACGGGCGTGCTATTGTGGATGAAACAATGATGACATGTACTGCCCATTTGAGTTAATGAACAAGCAAAAGACAATGTGCATCGAGATTATTACTTTGAACTACAAAATTGTTCATTGGTTCGTCTTTTATTATGTATGACCGTGACAGTTAATTATTGTATGTGTACTAAAAATAAAATTTTACAACTGGAACTCATTTATATTTTTACTATAATAATGAAAACATCAAGAAGCTAAGTGTTACGCAGACTTTTGGCTTAAATGCCTTATCTGATTCCACAGTAATTTTCATTCCTCTCTGTGTTATTTTATCCCCACCTCCATATCCAAGTGAGGTCAAATGCTGATGAGGATTTCGAGGGGTGCTTCTTTGGTCACTTAGATTCACCAACAAAACTTCGAGTTAATACCCATCGTCTCAAGTAAGTTCTGCCAGCAAATTACTTGTCACGCCTCCTAGTCTCGATGACCCTGGAAATGCTACGGCAGCTGAGTCAAAGTGGTCAAAGACAAAAGGCAGCACCTTTAAATAATCGGAATCTGTGACTAAAGGAAGAAAACCCCGAAAGAAAACCACTGGTCTTGCGAGTACGGGGGGTTTTGCTTAAGGTTAGCAACCCTAACGTGTAAAAAATTAATTGCTACAGAAATCAAAGCCGAGGATAATAGTAACAAGGAAAGGATGGAAACTACTCAGGAAACTTAACACATGATGAATGGCAGTCAAACCCAGCAGGAAAGTGACATCCAGTCCTAAAGAAGTATGTGGAACTCGAAAACTTGCCACTGGTCATCAAATACTTTACTCAGATAGAAACAACGACTGATTGATGGTATGCTGTTTTACGTCCCATCCGAGAATTTTTCACTCTTATAGAGACGTCAACATATACCGGTGAAGGGCTTCAAATTTAGACCTTCACTCGGCACTCCGGACCATTGAGCAGTGAGGGTTCTTTACCGTGCCATAAGCTATCACAAGATGCAGAAGAGGCTGCCACAATACAAGATATGGGAACCTTAAATCGCATCACAAAAACTCTGAATGGAGGATTAAGACAAGGCGGCGATCATTGAAAAAAAAAGAGATGAAAGATTCAGGGAATCATTCAGCAGAAGCAGATGTCAGCTGATAGGCACAGATGGTAGTCGTAGATACAGGCCTTATATGTGCTCAAGAAACGATGATTCATTGATTGTATGTTGTTTTACGTCCCGTTCGAGAATTTTTCACTCGTATAGAGACGTCACATTACACCGGTGAAGGGCTTCAAATTTAGACCTTTACTCGGCACTCAGGGCTTTATATTGAGAAGTGAGGGTTCTTTATCGTGCCGACGCCTACCGTGACACGGGACCTCGGTTTTTAAGGTCTCAGCTGAAAGACCCTCAAAGAACGAGGGGTACTCAGTAAGTAGGTATCCAAGTTCCTTAACAGCCACAGAGGTAACGGTGAGTACCATTTAGAAAACACATTTCTATGCAGACTGCGTTCACGATGATTTCTTGATACTTGATAATACTAGGACATACATCCAGCAGATATTGTAGCTAGGGTTCCTTTTTCAGTGAAATATACCGAATCCATATGAAAAGGAATCAGACTGGTGACAAAGCATTTTTTTTTTAAAAATGTGGTAAGTGTGAGCTTCTGGAAAACTTTGAAAACTTGGACTTATTGCTCCAACAAAAAGTGTCATCTTCTGTCCTAGTGAAACTCAAAATTCGATTAAATGGCCTTGGATGACACTCTAGAAGCATATTACTACTTCGATTACAGGCTATTTTCCTGTATTGTACAACCAGCAAGGTCAAAAATACCAAACAAATTTTCCTTATTACTTGATATGTATATTTTTCTGGGAGTGGGGGATGTTATAGTCATTAATCCCAAGGAGAGTTACCTCTCTCTTATCAAAAGGTCTATAGACCTTGACAAAGTCACAATCGCGGCACTGTCATCAAAAACCTTTATGTAAAGTTAAAACCCCCACACACTTATCTCAATGGATTATAATTTCATAAAGAATTTTAAACTTGTCATTCAGATAATTTTCATTACGCAACCTTTATATCTATGACGCCCTCTGGTCAAATTTTAGCAACTATTAAAGAGTGTGTGATTCCTTTTACCCATTTCAATTGTGTTTGTGAATTTATTCTTGCAGGTATAATCTTTAAGTTATAATTTTGTGAGCAGTTTTCAGCCAACAGAAATGAAGCTCCATCCTGGAAACTCTTGTCAAAAGAGGAGGGCAATTTTTCAGATTTACGCTCCTAACTTATTTACCTTTCTACACCCTTTGTCTCTGTATATCAGAGAGTGAAAAATTAAATTCAATACATAAAATAAAGTCATACGGACAAGGATCATGGACAGACAACACTGGGTTTCATACTTCTCGGAATTATCATGTTTCCTTGATTGTTCAATTATCCCTAGCTGGAATTAATGATTAGATCCGAATGCAAATATTCCGAATAGTTATGCTAAAATAAATCAGTGGTGGATATTTAGGGAGGGGGTTTTAACACAAAGACTAAGCCCTTGAAATCCAGTTTTCATGACTGCTTGTCAACAAATTATTCTAATTGATGAGGTGCAAAAAAAAAACTTCAGGGGTGGATCCAAAATTTCAACAAATATAATGTCTCAAGCAACATATTTTAAAAGAAATATATATTCTATACTTGTTTCATGTCGTGTCATGCTACTAATGGGATAAAAAAGGTACCAAAATAACTCTTAAAATGTACATTTAACAACATATTTTAAAACGAAAAACAAGGGCAAACCAGGCTATTCACCAAAACTTTCAAAGATTTCCTGAATACCCCCCACCCTCACCCCTTTCCATCATATAAATTATAAATAAACAATAATCATACTGAATAAATCACTTCTATGGAGTTTTATTACAGGACTCCTGTTGTTAACACAAATTCCAATGAACTTTTTCAACATGTACCGGTATGTAAATCTTGATGTTTTCGTCACCTTTCACCTTTCAAAACTGTTCGTTATACCTTTAATTTTTTTTTTACTAATTAAGTTATTAAACACACAAGTTTTAATATTCTTAACATAGTGTTCATTTGTTTTGAAGAGGATTAATGATCCTGACAACAACAAAAACAACAAACAAAAATAAACATTTTGCTTTTTCAATAAGTATTTTGTTAGAGTCTCTTCATGTAGAGACACTCTGAATGGCCTTTAAATTCATAGTATCTATATTTAGAACAAAGTATTTGACATTTTTTAAAACATCTATAAGGTTTGATGGAGTCGGCTGTTAAACAAGTTCAGTTTATCATGGCATCCCTGTATACATTTTATGTATCACATTTTACTACATATTTTTGTAAAAATTCCTTAGATTGAGAAAATGTCCTATTTACAAGCGGCGCAGAAAAACAGATGTCGTCAAGCGTGAATGTATGAGGCGCCGTTTTGGTATTTACTGCCAAAAAGTGATATCACCTATTCGAATAGGTGATATCACCTATTCAATTGGTGATATCACCTATTCGAATAAGTGATATCACCTATTCAGCTTCTGAATAGGTGATATCACCTATTCGAATAGGTGATATCACCTATTCGAATAAGTGATATCACCTATTCGAATAGGTGATATCACCTATTCAATTTGAATGAGTGATATCACCTATTCGAATAGGTGATATCACCTATTCGAATAGGTGATATCACCTATTCGAATAGGTGATATCACTTATTCGAATAGGTGATATCACTTATTCCTTTTGAATAGGTGATATCACTTATTCGAATAGGTGATATCACCTATTCAAATCAAATAGGTGATATCACCTATTCGAATAGGTGATATCACTTATTCGAATAGGTGATATCACTTAATCATTTTGAATAGGTGATATCACTTATTCGAATAGGTGATATCACCTATTCAAATTATTTATGAAATAACAACTGCTCCCAAGACTATAGCCTTTAATTCTCATTTACTTTCACTTTCGTTTTATAACTTACCATTCTTGCAGACAATGGATTACAGCTTCGCATTTAGTTTTAAGCAGCCCAGTAGAATTTGTAGTTTGTTTTGCTCACAAATTATATTTATTACACTTATCTATCATGTATACTATAGGAAAATTCAAAGGGTCTGTAAGTCTCGTTGACTTTCACTTTCGTTTTATAACTCCCGGGTACCTGAGCGTTCTTGGAGACAATGGATTACTTAAGTTGTAAGCATCGCAGTGGAATTATTAAACTTGTAGTTTGTTTTGATTCCCGATTGTTGCAAAGAAGAGGAGAAAATGGATTGATAGATGCAGGTAAATAGCGTTTAATTGCTTTATTTTTTCATTACATAACGTAAACACAAGCTATTCCGAGGGGGCCAAGATTAGCCAACATACTTAAGCATAAAGGGAAAATTAAATCGTTTTTATTCTAAAATCGTCTGTATTCAAAAGGCACGCTTATCTACAGATTGGTTTCATAAATTTAAAGCATTAATTTAGCTTACAATATGGTATAATTTGGAGTATTGGACAGGTATACATGAGATTGGGATATTGAATGCGATGTCATTGAAAGCAAATAAAAAAATAGATGTACCCAAATGCATCGACCATGGGAATACAAAGTTGAATACCACGTCGATAACATATGATCTTTGTAGAAAACACATTTTTTTTTAATTTAATTACAATAAATAAAAATGGTCAGCTCAAAATTGGTCATTCTGTAGGCTACCCTGTCTATTCAGAAATAAAAATGGTCACATACACTCAAAAAATAATTATTTTTTATTCTACAAAGAAGAAAGCATTTTTTTCATTTACACATACAAACTGTATTAACTGCCAAGTTTCATGACCACCACCACCCCCCCCCCCCCTTTTCCAATACTTCTACAATTATGAGACAGACTTTTTTTTTCTTGAAATAGGCATTTTTCTCCATTTGTCATAACATATTACAGGGCTGCACAAGGTACTGAAAAAGGGACAGCGCTTTGAGTGAATGTGTTATCCATGTATCTGCAAATGAAGCAGATCCCCCAGTTATTATACTCATGGAGAGTGTAACAACTTCCAACTTGTTAATGACGGAACTCCATTTAAATCAGGTACAAGTTAAAGTTTAGGCTGCACAATTCTTTATTACAATATTCAAAACTTAATAATTCAGGATCAAGTTCACACAAGCTCACATTCCATGGTTACTTACAACACCATTATGCTAGATAAATTTGTTATACACTTTCATGTTAAATAGTCAAATTTGATTGGTTTAAAAAACATTTGTTAACAAGTACTATTACCATACTGCATGCCAGACATTACATCCCAATGGTTGAAAATGCATGACTACGGGTAACAGTATATATAGTAATAAAAAATGTTAACTGTGCAGAATGTTTGCACGTTCGTTTCACCTTGTTGTTTTCTTTAAAATGCATTCTATAACAAGAAAAATATTACCTGTTTATTTTGGGTGATGTGAAATTCTTACCCCTTAAAAACCATTGCTGACCGAGGCGAGGTCAGCGATGGTTTTTGTGGTATAACAATTTCACGTTATCCTACTAAACATGTAATATTTTCATGTTATATGTACTTCTATTTGTAAATGTTAATGACTGTGAAAAACATAAATATTTATAAATTAGTAAAATCAATTTAATACACTATGAATACACAAAAGGACAAATTTGTACATAATTCTCTATGATTTGGTTAATTAGTTTATATAAAGGATGTAAATGGACATGACATATCATTGTTAATATTCAAGAAAGTGTTCACTGTTTTTCTTGTAGATGCTCCTTTCCATCTGATGTTTTCCAGGTTTTTGTGAAAAGTTTTCTTAAAAATGGCACCATTCAACTACAAATACTATGCCAGTGGAACTGTGATATCAATCAACTGCTTATGACACTATTAATTGGCAGAGAATTTACTTTTTTTTATTTGGGACAAGCAATCTGTTTCAAACATTTTATACCTGCAAATTGGTACATGTACTTCATGAAATGCTTGAAGGATGCTAAAGGCTACTGAAATTCCAAGCCAGATGAAATTCAAAAGGATTGATACAAAAGTCATTTGAAGTTTTCTATTCTTAGTGATGAGTGTTTTTCAGGATGCCCTCTGATATCATAGGTACAACTGGTCACTGTCCTTTGTTAGTTACACATGCAGACAACTTATTAAGGCAGTGATATAAGTAGCTCGAAGTGATGCTTTATTGTTTTCCTCAGATTTATAACCTGGATTGATCTCTGATGCAGTAATTTAAAGCCATGTCTTTTCACTGTCACAAAGTACTGAAATAAAAATAATTTTGATTAAAATATTTCTTTTAATTCACATCATTAAATTTTTAAGCTACAGAAATTCAAATTAATTACCTATTAGTAAATAGAAATCTTTAATTGATTAGCAAGCCTTTGCATTGTCAGATCCTTTTCTGAAAGGGCCATTTACCTTTAACAATGTCAGGACAGGTGAGGCAACTGGCTGGTCTTCATGCTGGAAGTGTGTGTTAACTCTGTAATCTTTTTAAACAAAACCATCCAGTGATGTCCTAAGATTGCCAGATGAGCAGACATATACCTGTATTTAAGAAAGATTCTGTAACATGACATAGAATTTTTGCACAGCTTGACGCACAACTGATGGTATCTTAGGTGCCTGCAAAATAATAAATCTGGCACATATTTATTTATTTGATACAAATCAGAACAAAATTTGTCCTTTTACAGAACAAATTATTTTCATTTTAAAGAAAAGAGAAATGCATATGTACTGTTTTAATACATATAACCTGTATTATTGGATATTTTCACCCCATTCTAATTTTTAAAATATTCACTCTTTCACCCTTGAAAACAATTTTGCCCTTTTAAAATTTGATCAGACACATTTGTGTTTAAAAGATATATGCTGCCTTCTTCGAATTTGTCCCGTTTTAAATTCACCTACTTGTAAGGAGGGCAGAATGAGAAAAATAAAACTTAACTGGGGCGAAAAATTTCCAGAACAAAGTACCATTACTTGCCTGCCTGTTGTACTATAACTCGATCCTCCAACCTTACAATATTCTATAATCATTGCTTTCATGCGATACCCCCCAGTGGATTGATGGTCTCTTTTCCAAATTATATGCACTTTCTAAAAAGAATGAATTTGTCAATTTATAAAATTTAGTATTACAAGTTAATAAAGACAGTAAAACAATGTTAACAACATTTATATGCAAATGAACCTCTGTACAAATCACTTATAAATGATTGACAACTTGTATGGAATATATCGAATACCCTTAATTTTGACATTTGGAAACCCAGCGTTAAGGCCAAACAAAAAATATGTGTGGTTCTGGTTACACCTCCAAAAAAAATAGGGAAGATGGGTAGGGATTTTTTATTTATTTTTTTTTTTTTAACAAAATGATTTTCTAAATTTTTCCAAATAATACCTATTTCTTTTCGTTAGCATAAGTGAACTATTTTATGTGTAGAGTGTTAGATATGTTTTCTCTTAAGCATATGGATTAGATATGTGCTTTAATGTGTGAATAAAATGTCTTGGGTATTTAAACAGTTGTTTGCTGATTCTATTCATTCGAGTTCATACTCATCCAGAAAATACAATGTTTGAAGAAAATCAGCATGAGCAAATTGAATTATTTAACTGTTATTTGGATATTATATTTTCTTTTTTTAGAATGTTAAGTTTTTACGAAGATGATAAGTGCTGTCCTTGTTTTTAAAGGATGATATTAATTTCAGAATTGTATATTATAAGTAAAATTAATGGATATCTTAAGCATTATACATTAAATCTTAAATATAGATCATGATTTCTCCATCGGAATCTGCTGCGGAAGTCTTAAACTTTATACAGGTATATAAAATCTAAAATTGTATATTATAGAATGCGAAAAAACAGAAATATTTTGTGAAGAGCTGAGTATGTAAATCATAACTAATAAATGTTTTGTTTATTTTGAATTCAGTCTTTTCCAACTATGGTTCAGAAAAGAAATGTTTTATTTGTGGATGAACAGAGTGAAGGAGAAAATAAGTGGCATTTCGATGTGGCGTGAAATATACTAGTCAACATTGGTAGGGGGCACCCTAGTTATGAATATGAAACAAATATTTTTAAATCAACAAGATGTGTTTGTGAAACACTGATGCCCCCATATGGCATCTTATGGCGAAGGTTAAAGTTTCTCAAATGCAAGTCAAAATCCAGGCCAAAAGATAAAAAATGTTAAATTTGAAAGCCCTAGCTGCAACTGTTCAAAAGTTATGGCAAAGGTTAAAGTTTTTTAAAAGTAAGTAAAACATCACGGTCAAGGTCAAAGTTGTTGGTATCCAAAGAAAGGTCTTGTTTCAAGGATTACATATGTGAAGTATGAAAGCCCTAGCTCCAACCGTTCAAAAGTTATGGCCAAGGTTAAAGTTTTTCAAAAGTAGGTCAAACTCTAAGGTCAAGGTCAAAAGGTCATAGTTGTTGGTATTCAAAGAAAGGCCTTGTCACAAAGAATACACATGTGAAGTTCGAAACCCCAAGCACCAACTGTTCAGAAGTTATGGTCAAGGTTAAAGTCTCATAAAATTTTGCAAAAGTGGGTCAAACTCCAACGTCAAGGTCAAAAGGTCAAATATGATGGTACCCAAAGAAAGGTCTTGTCACAAAGAATACACATGTGAAATATGAAAGTCATAGCTCCAACCAATCAAAAGTTATGGGCAAGGTTAAAATTGACAACAGACAGATAGACAAACAGATAAACAGACAAACAGATAAACAGACAAACAGACAGACAGGACAAAAACAATATACCCTCGGGATCTTTCGATCCAGGGGCATAAAAATAATGAAAACACAATCTTTTCTTTTTGTAAAAAATAAAGTCCAAGGTGAACATCCTTTTGTTTAAAATCAGTGTTTATAAATGAAATTAATTACTTTTATCCAGAATAATTCTTATTTTACTTAATAATAAATTTTGAACGATAAACTTTTAAGAGCTGTCAGAGGAAAAGAATGTGACACCTATACTTTGTACAGTAATGTTTAAAACAAAATAAATCACCTAAGCAAGATGACATAGAATGATTCAAATTCGTCAGAATTACAAATATTTAATATTATTAAAATTTTAAATCCTTTCATGAAACCTTTTTGCCTCATTGAAGACTTCATACTTCCAAGCTCATTTCTCATATATATTGGTGTTTTGCAAGTTGACTTTATTCAGGTGAAATCAGCAGTCTTCTTTTTCACGTTTCCTCATGAACTGTTTTTTTTTTCTACTTTCGGTTTAAAAGAAACGATCCTGATATAAATTATTTAATAATTTACAAGTTAATCTATCTTACACATTGGGCTAATTCTTGCATAATCAATGCAATCAAATAAATGTTTTCTCATGTTATCTTCCCTCTAACTCCAAAAAACGTTACCTGGCCAGCTGTCTGTGTGCTTTCAAGCGAGAAGTGATTTCCTATCCTGACTTCACACCTTTGCGTGCATTAATAATAAAGGGACTAATCAGCATGCACTTGTTATAAACCAGCTGTAAACAGAGCAACTAATTGAATCTCGCCACTCTTGGGCATATTTATTTAATTTTGGCAACCAAAAAACAAACAAACAAAAAACATGGCGCTGGAAAAAGGTATACTGCTGCGCCATGCTAGCTTGCTTTAGATTTAACACCATCAAACACTTGCACTACGTGTTGAAACGATTTTTGCATGGAGGTCGCCATTGCTGGAACTAAAACTAATACCGAAGTGGATGACGGAAATCACGGAAAATTCCGGAAAATAAATATGAAAATTGCCAGAAAAAAGTTAAGGGTTGGGGATCTAAAATAGCGACGGTCGGGTAACGGGAACCACACATATTTTTTTATTTGGCCTAATAATATTCCATACATGATTGAGCTGTCACCTGATGAACCTTTAATTCTTTTCTATTTTTTATATGCTTTATATGTATATGAATTATAAGAGTAAATGCAAGTCCAAAAACTTATTTTGTGACATCAATTTCATACCTGTATTTGAGTTGCCTTTTTGAGGATATACCAGGTAGATTATTCAAAGTCGATGTACATGTAGTCTTACATGCTGCAGTTCTCTTGTACTTTAGCTATAAAATAAATTTTAATGTATACAATTGTGTAAGATGAAAGAATATTTCAAACACTGAAACAGACTGAAACCTTAACAGACCAAAACTTTAACCAAAATATCCTCTTTAACATGCTCTCTAAACTGAAGAGTATGGTCATATAATTGCAGTCATATGAATTTTTTTCAATGATAAATGCAGAGAGAATTTGCAGAATATATAAAGAAAGTCTTATCGTTGGGAAATAAGCAGGTCAAGTACAATCTCTTAATTTAGCTATATAGCTTGAAATAGCTATATAGCTTTATTAAGCTATTCAAAATAGCTTAATTTAGCTATTTATATGCAGTTTTTCACAAAAATTATTTTGGTAAGAAATAGACAAAAAGTCGCATGTATTTGACCATTCATATATGTGCTATGGGCTATCGAAACAACAAGCAAAATCAAAGATATCTCCAACTTTGCAACTTTTGAATACTTTTAAGCAAAAGATAAATTTCTATTATTTGAGTAACTGTCCACTACCTTGTGTGCATTGAGGCATGGATAAGTATGATTGCTTCTCATTGTACTGAATTATTACCAATCAATTATCTTCTTGACCATAATTGGCCTCCTTTATAATTTCATTGAAGAAGTAACTGTATCAATTGCGCATGTAGCCTAAAAACTTTTAGAACTTTGAGTACAAAGTCTCTTTAATTTGTTTCTATTTTCCTAATTATCTCCCCTTGTTTAAGGGTCACAACCCTAGTTTTAGTATAAACGGAAGCCCTTGGCCCAAGGATACCCTGTGACAAATTTGACAATAATTGGCCAAAGGGTTCTTGAGTTATGGCCCATATTCTAAAAAGTTTACGCACACCGCACAAATGGCCATAGCATTAGCTCTTTGGGCCTTTGGCTCAGAAGAGCTAAAAATGAACCTCTTACATTGATTTTTGGTTGATATTTTTTACAGTTTTTTTATGAACAATGTACAGTATTTTCACCCAAATTCCAGTATTTTGAGGACTGCTGTACAGTATTTGGGCCTAAAAATTATTACATGAATGCAAGGAGATTTTAATGAGTGAGTTTTATAATGCATCAATTTCAGATGAGTTCAAGGTTGAGTATCATCACTGCACCAAGGTGCGACTTTTTGTGCATGCTGAGAAAAGTACACATTTAAGAAAAACTGATATAAAATAGCTAAATTAAGCTATTCTGAATATAGTTAGAATAATCTAACTGTGTCTCGGGACAAGCCCTCACCACAGTTAGAATATGTCCCATATACTTGCAACGTAGCAAATCGGAGTGGATCCACTCCGAAATGATTTTGAAGAATACAAAAGGAGTTGCATTGAAAATAACTACCAAATTAATCATAACAAACATTTTTGAGATTGTATATGCCTTTTAACCTACAAATTAATCCATATATATACGAAAATTCAACTCATTTTCTCAACGTTTTTTCCTCGCTTCAAATTTAACGCCATGTTGACATTCGGAACTCTCTGGATTCTTCATACAAAATGCAGAGAATTCGAGTTATCGCCCGTGTTTATTTTGCTACATTGCGAATACACGGAACAAATTCTATCGTTAAACCGGGTCCGTAGGACAATATCATTTTAACGATAGAACGTTCTATCTATTCTGAATAGCTTAATAAAGCTATATAGCTAAATCAAAAGATTGTACTGGACCTGCACCTGATAAGTGCTTTCAAACATTGAATACTTATAAAACTAGACCCACTGACATGCAACAGCTTAATTTCTGTTGATAAATGAAGCGTATTCTGAACAAATTATTTACCCAAACAAAGGTGATGCTGTCACAAGATGACGTTCGTACCCATCTGACACTTACACTACTCCTCCTTAATCAGCTGGTAATAACATCATTATCCTCGATTTCAAGAAAAATCTGTTAATAAATTAGTTGTAATGATGATAACAAAAATATTCTAATCAGATATAAATGTATAATATAAGACTTCTATTTCACCCAAGAATACCCAAGAAACAGGTGACATTCTCTGACTTGTTTACCTGTACTTCGATTGAAATTCTCCTCCTACTTGCTCGCACCCAAGCTTTTACGACCCTCAATTTATCCATCGTAAGTCGGAGAACCCTTCGGCTTTGTACAACTGCTTAACTTTCCTTATACGCTTTGTGTAAACCATAAACATGCATAACGCAATACACATCTTGCATCTCCATGTGTGAGGTACCCGGAAGTTAATATTATCGAAAAATCTCGCGAGGCACGTGACGAGACTTACAGACCCTAATGCAGCCCGAATTTGCTTGGTTCCAATGAAAATGTAGATAATCTTGAGGAAGGGAGCATTCATTATTTATTGTTGTAAGAAATGCAAATAGGTGATATCACCTATTCGAATTGGTGATATCACCTATTCAAATTGAATAGGTGATATCACTTATTCGAATAGGTGATATCACTTATTCGAATAGGTGATATCACCTATTCAGCACGAATAGGTGATATCACCTATTTGAATAGGTGATATCACCTATTCATTTCGAATAGGTGATATCACCTATTCGAATAAGTGATATCACCTATTCGAATAAGTGATATCACCAATTCGAATAAGTGATATCACCTATTCGAATAGGTGATATCACCTATTCAATTTGAATAGGTGATATCACTTATTCGAATAGGTGATATCACCTATTCGAATAGGTGATATCACCTATTCGAATAGGTGATATCACTTTTTGGCAGTAAATACCAAAACGGCGCCTCATATGAATGTCAGTTTCTAGGACGTTTTAATAATCTATCCTGCGCTTGTCTTAGAAGCTAATAATTAGCACTTTAAACAAATCAAAAGTTCTCTATTCTAATAAATTCGTCACCAGAAGTGTTACACTCATACAACTTACCATTATTTGGTGTTTTAGTCTCCATTTTCTAACGATAAACAAGGGAATTATCTCCGTATTTGTGCTGTACACGTATCACTGCCCGTCAAGTCGTATTTACATTGACCTAGTTTTTGGAAACGAACCCACTTTCATGAGTACTTAGCCATATGAGACACTTGAACTGAAGTCGTTTACAGACAAATAGATAGGACACATGGTAAGTCTTACTGATGTTACTGGATATAATATGTCGAGAGTCTATATAGATTATACTAGGCTAGTCAAGGTGACCAGATATATATTAAATACGATGTGGAACGCATTGTGGACATGTACCTATATATACACATGTATATCCGAGACAATCCTCATGAATTTTTAAAATTACTCGAGGCGAATCAAATTGTTGGCTGTTTAATAGTGATTCAAATTTACAATTAAAAAAAAAGGAAATCCCATTTTAGATTGTTAATTATTGACTTAAAACTTTAATTATCAGGACAATAAAAATTTATATACCTGTATTTTTATTTAAATTCGTAACAACATGTGTCCAATACCAATGTCATCATTTGAATAAGAGGGAAATAACCTCTCTTCGATGGAAAAGAACACACAAGCAAACGTTGACTAATGTTTGTTTACCTTGTTTTCTGTTGGTCTGGTTTCCTCATCAGTTTCCGATTCCAGACAGTCTGGAAGGTCCAGACCCAGCCCTTTGTTTACATGAACAGAGTCCTCGTTCACTTTAACCTGGGCTCCTATAATATTAAGCTCACTTTGCATTTGTACATCCTCATGTAGCTGCTGAGAAAAACCTTCACTCGATTTTAAACTCTGTCCGACCATCGCGCTGAGGTTTTCTCCAAAGTATGCACCAGAAAGGGGATCTGGTCCGATTTCTTCCGAAAATTGATGGCCACTGATGGCGAACTCGCTCAGTCCCATCTCAAGACCTATCAGCTCGCTTCCGTGCGGTTCGCTTATTCCAAACTCAGCAACGCCCATTTCAAGATCGAGGCCAAAACAGGGAGGGTCACTGACCATGAAGTCGTCGCTATCATTTTGGGCGAATTCAGTGGAATCCCCAGATAAAGAATTCTCCATCCTCCCCTCCCTGCCGATAAAGCCAATGTCCGATTCGAAAATTACCGACTCAACAATCATCTTCTGCAATATTTATTTAGTATTTCAAAAGCGGATGTGCATAGTACTCTGAGCAAATGACGATTACTCATCTATATTGTTTTTTTTTCTATGTAAAAGACAACACCTTAACGATTGTGTAAGTCCCAGACTTTGCCCCACGTGTCAACAGATCTTACATTAATGTAGCAGTGGTTGGTGATCTATTTATAAATCGTTATAGTTTGTCACCTTAAGAGGTCGGTGTACTGATGGGAATTCTGCCAGCTATACTATACAACCTTAATCGGTTATAAATAATTTCCAATTACTTCAATCAACTATATTTTTAATTTAATTATAATTTTGCTAAGTAAATAAATCAATATATATATATGATTTGAAAACATGCTGAATAATTTATATACGTCAGAGATAAAGACCTACGTTCGTGGACTCTGTGAATTTGTTTGTGTGTGTGTGTGTGTGAGGGAGGGTGTGTGTGTGTGTGTGAATATTAAAATTCAGTAAGAAGCATACTAATCATGCACGTACACGTGTACTTTTATTTAGTTGCCATAATCAGCAAAGCCTCCTAAGGGCAATAATAAGATAAGATAATTTTATTTTCCAACTTTGGGTCCAGATCTAGAGGGCATTCAAGCTTTTTACAACAATATAATAGAAAGTTCTGAATGAAAGGTTACATACACAGACACACACACACACATCTATATATATATGCATATATATGATATAATCCATTCAAGTAACTGTAGGTGCAGCAGTTGGGGTTATCAAATTGTAATTGACATGTGATCATAAACCTGTATTAACAATATATACTAGTATACAAATATGTATATAGAACATTTTATGATAACAATACATAGAGCTAAGTAAAATTTATATCATACAGTTTGTACGTATAAATATTCAAAATTATTCATTTGTCTAAAGTCATGGCATTATGCCTTTTTTGAAACCTTTGATAATAACATTCACAAAACTTTATGATTAGTTTGTCTTCATTAGACATTAACCACATAAATTTTCTTCTTTTTTTTTTTTTTATTAATAACTGAAATTTTTGTTAAGCAATGAGATATCATGAAAAATATATTTCTCTCCTCATTATATAATGGACATTCAATAAGAAAGTGATATTCATCTCCTATACAATTTTGGTTACATACTTAACATGTTTTTTGTTTCTTTTGACCAGTATTATTTTTCACAGATTCATTTCTACTTTTTTCAATTCTTAGATCATGAGCATTTATTCTCAATCTACATACAGATTTTTTTATTTCATGAGATTTGATATACATATAGTTTTCCATTGTGAAATTTTCTTTAAACATAAGTAGTAAGTTTTCCCGAGTTAAGTACTTCTTCACGTTCCATTGTCCAATATTGTAGAAAATGTTTTTTCAAATGTTTTTAAACTTTTTTTTTTAAATGGGTTTTTGTATTTTTACATTCTGATAATGAAATGTTAATTTTCTTACTGAAATAAATTACATTTTTTATAAATTTTTATGAAATCTTGTTGGTGACAATATTCTGTATTATGAGATACAATCTTCATGATAAGACAACAGGGGTTTTTAAATTTTTATAATTAAAAGGAATGTAAACAGATATTTGATGCCTATTTTTCAAAACCAGGTCATAAACCGTTTAAGCATGCATTAAGGACAGATGATACAAAAAATTGGATGTCTGGATAGGTATGTATTTTTGGACCTATTTTGATTGTGAATGATGCACGTAATAAATTTCTTAAAAATTAAGAATGTGTAAACTTTCTATGATGTTCAAAATTCTACCTTTCTGCAACCTTCTTTATTAATCTATACAATTTTTTTGTCGCTTAAAATCACATTTTTGTGAAACTTTGAATAAAAAATTATAATCTATGTGGCTAAACTTATTCATTTTACCCATATAATCACGACTGAAGTGGTTATTTTTAAAATAAATACATTATATATAAATATTTAGATATATTGATAAAAGGATAAAAGTTTGTTTGTATCATCTGTCCTTAAGTTTTTATCATGATCTTCCTTTGTAAGTGCCCACTAAGGATAGGTTTTGCTTATTCAGTATGCATCAAGCATAGGTGCTTAAGGACATGACCGACCCCACCCACCCCTTTTTCTCTGTCTAGGCACTCGAGCATTTTGGCTTTTTAGGAGGATATATCCTGCCGATATCACCACTGAATACAACTACTGCCCATGGAAACATAATTATAATGAAATGGTAGATATAAACAGCAGTGATCGATCAAAGGCGTCGGAAGCAAATTGAAAGAGGGGAACCAACAAAAAACGTTTGGGTGGGGCAATCACCAATTTTCAAAGTCTATGTTATGTCTGTCTTTGCAAAAAGATGGGGGCTAAGCCCCTCCCCCTAGCCCCCCCGGTTCGGACGCCTATGTCGATCTAAAAAAAAATATCTACAAACAATACAAACCTGTGAAAGGGCATAAAACGGATCCCTGGAAATGCAGAGGTGGGATCAGATGTCTAGGAGAAGTTAGCATACCATGTTAACCTCTCACACCCTCCGCGAGCCTTATTTATTGTTCACGTAGACGAAATATTCCGTAGTCATTTCTTTTATAAAAACAAAGGCCTAACAATCGGTATGCAAAATGTCAGTCAAAATACTGCCTAATGATAGGTCGTATTTGCTAACAAGGTCGAATAAGTTGGGTGACATAAACACCGTATACAGGTGATAGTGGAATGTTACTACATAAATAAGGAAAGTTGACTGACGATGGAAAAGCTGAAGTCATCATGTTTGTCATACTGTTTAGTTGTTAGCTGGTCCTTATCGTCTATAGTCAGTAAAACATCCAAATATGAAACAGATGTGACAGACTCTGTGGTGTCGTATATTTCAAGTTCACTGGGATATATCGAGTTGACGTATGAATGAAAGTTATTATTGTTAATTGATAAAATGTCCTTGTTATATCGGAATGTCGAGCTGAAGGCCACAGCAAGTGTTTTCTTCTTTTCATGTAGATCCGCCGAAATATGGCCGAAATATTGCCGACTCGGCGTTAAACAATAATCAATCAATCTTCTCATGTAGAAGTTTTTAAATAAAGGAATATAAAACAGGTCGAATAATAAGGGGCACAAAATAGTGCCCATTGCTATTCCAACAGATTGTCGGAAGACCTGGTCTCCAAAGACTGCTTAGATGCTGTCAGTGAGGAACTCCAGCATCATTTTGATATCAACCTCGGCGTACTTATGTGTAGAGTCAGAGTGATTTTTTTTTTTTTTTTACAAAATAATTTTGTAAATGGCCTATCAAAGATACGAAAATTAAAGAAGCAGTTGTCTATAATTTAATAAACCTTAGTTTTTTTTTTTTTTATCAATCGTGAGGAATGGTTGTATAAAGTGTCGAAAACTCATACGTTTTGATATTACTGACTTGAGAAATGTTTTGTGATTTTAAATTTTTTAAAATTTCTTTGAAATTTTTGAAAATCGGCATTCGATTTACACCACTTCTTCATCAGTATGTTGTAGCACATTCCATCTGCAGTTTCTCCTTTACTATCAAAATAAAATTAATAAAATCCTGTCCTAAAATCTATTTTGTAAACCTGTATCAACAACAGAGATTTTTTCCTCGTATTTGCTTTCAGACTGCGTTTATTTTACAACAGTCAACCTGTCATTAAAATGTTTCAGTGTCTATACTACCTTTATATGTGCTCTAAAATCTCCTACATGGTAACATAGGTACACTTTTTATATATACAATCGTTATTCTGTTTTAAATTTCTATATATTTTCATTCTGTTTTAAACTTTTTAGCTCACCTGAGCCGAAGGCTCAAGTGAGCTTTTCTGATCACATTTTGTCTGTAGTCCGTCTGTCCGTCTGTCCGTCTGTCTGTCCGTCTGTCCGTCTGTAAACTTTTCACATTTTCGACTTCTTCTCAAGAACCACTGGGCCAATTTCAACCAAACTTGCCACAAAGTATCCTTGGGTAAAGGGGATTCAAGTTTGTTCAAATGAAGGGCCACGCCCTCTTCCAAGGGGAGATAATTAAGAATTCGTGAAAAATTAATGGCATCATTAAAAAATCTTCTTCTCAAGAACCACTGTGCTTGAAAACATGAAACTTATGTGGAAGCATCCTCAGGTAGTGTAGATTCAAGTTTGTTCAAATCATGACCCCCGGGGCTAGGGTGGGGCCGCAATGGGCGATCGAAGTTTTACATAGGAAATATACAGGAAAAATCTTTAAAAGTCTTCTTCTCAAGAACAGCAAAGCCATAATTGGTCATATTTATATGGTAGCATCCTCAGATAGTGTACATTCAAGTTTGTTCAAATCATGACCCCCGGGGGTCGGGTGGGGCCACAATGGGAGATCAAAGTTTTACATAGGAATATATAGGAAAAATCTTCAAAAATCTTCTTCTCAAGAACAGCAAAGCCATGATTGGTCATATTTACTTGGAAGCATCCTCAGGTAGTGTAGATTCAAGTTTGTTCAAATCATGACCCCCGGGGGTAGGGTGGGGCCACAATGGGCGATCAAAGTTTTACATAGGAATATATAGGAAAAATCTTTAAAAATCTTCTTCTCAAGAACAACAAAGCCATAATTGGTCATATTTACATGGAAGCATCCTCAGGTAGTGTAGATTCAAATTTCTTCAAATCATGACCCCCGGGGGTCGGGTGGGACCACAATGGGCGATCAAAGTTTTACATAGGAATATATAGGAAAAATATTTAAAAATCTTCTTCTCAAGAACAACAAAGCCATAATTGGTCATATTTACATGGAAGCATCCTCAGGTAGTGTAGATTCAAATTTCTTCAAATCATGACCCCCGGGGGTCGGGTGGGACCACAATGGGCGATCAAAGTTTTACATAGGAATATATAGGAAAAATATTTAAAAATCTTCTTCTCAAGAACAGCAAAGCCATGATTGGTCATATTTATATGGTAGCATCCTCAGATAGTGTACATTCAAATTTGTTCAAATCATGACCCCCGGGGATCGGATGGGGCCACAATGGGCGATCAAAGTTTTACATAGGAACACATAGTAAAAATCTTCTTCTCAAGAACAGCAAAGCCATGATTGGTCATATTTATATGGTAGCATCCTCAGATAGTGTACATTCAAATTTGTTCAAATCATGACCCCCGGGGGTCGGGTGGGGCCACAATGGGCGATCAAAGTTTTACATAGGAACACATAGTAAAAATTCTAAAAAAAAAAAAAAAATAATTTGTTAAGAATAGCAAAGCCATGATTGGTCATATTTATATGGTAGCATCCTCAGATAGTGTACATACAAATTTGTTCGAATCATGACCCCCGGGGGTAGGGTGGGGCCACAATGGGCGATCAAAGTTTTACATTGGAACACATAGTAAAAATCTTTAAAAAAAACAATTTGTTAAGAATAGCAAAGCCATGATTGGTCATATTTATATGGAAGCATTCTTAGATAGTGTACATTCAAGTTTGTTCAAACATGACCCCTGGGGATCGGGTGGGGCCACAATGGGTGATCAAAGTTTTACATAGGAATACATAGGTTAAATCTTTAAAAATCTTCTACTCGAGAACAGCAAAGCCATGATTGGTCATATTTAAATGGAAGCATCCCCAGATAATGTAGATTCAAATTTGTTCAATTCCTGACACCCCCCCCCCAACCACTTTTATATTTAAACTTTTCAACCTTTCAAGATTGAAATGATTTCTGCTTTTTCCTAGCCATAGTGCTCAGGTGAGCGATGTGGCCCCTGGGCCTCTTGTTTTATTGAAGTTCTCCATTAAATAACCATTTACGATCTGTTTTAAATCAAAATATTCGTTTTCTATAGTTGAATAAAAATGTTCATTTTTTCGAAAAATATAACCTTTTTTCATCACGACATGCACATTACAGTGAATAAGTTGACTTAGACATGCAAACGATTCCATTTGTTCTTTCTGAATAGTATATAGATACGATTTGTTGTTTTTGTACATTGTATTGATTCGATTTAATGTTTCTGTACATTGTTGAATTCGATCTGACCGTTGTTTTATAAGTGCACTGCATGTTTTAGACCATTAAATGTTGTATTTTTTGTAATTGTTTCTGATGTTGTGAAGATATAGAATGTTGTTTATGTACAAATGAACACAATGGTTTTTATAAGTTGAGTACATAGCTGTTTCTTTGAATGTTTTTAGAAGAAGTAGAGATCTGAACTTAAGTTATCTTTCTTTCCTTGTCAGTGTTAGTGTAACATGTCATCAACAAGCACCTGCTCCAATGAAACCATTCACACCGGCGGCTGTCACTGTGGCGCCGTTAGATTTCAAGTTTTGGCTCCAATACATCTTCATGTGTATAACTGCAACTGTTCTATCTGCTACAAGAAACAAAATAAGCACTTTATAGTACCGAAGTCAAAGTTTACTCTTCTGAAAGGCGAGGACAATTTGACCACATACACCTTCAACACGCGACAAGCTAAACACACTTTTTGTAAAACTTGTGGGGTCCAAAGCTTTTACACACCAAGGTAAGTTCATTTCACAGCCTTGAGGGATAGTTCACATCAGTGAACTAGAAGTTCACAGCCTAAAAGAGTGGACTCCTTGACTGCATCATTATCAAGTCAAACTGCAACTCCATGACCAAATCCTACCTAAAGTTTGAAGCACAGGTCCAAACAGAAATATCCCCCCATTATTGTTCACTATCAATTGATAAACATGTACAGGTTTATATTGTTTTATACTGTTTTGATATATTAATGTGATCGTATTTAGATCTAATCCAGATGGGTATGGTGTGGCTCCACATTGTCTGGATCAGGGAACAGTAGAACACGTCACAGAGGAAGACTTTGACGGACAGAACTGGGAGCAGCATATACAGACCTCTGATATCAGGTCAAGGTCAAAAGAGTGATGCCTCACCGGGAGTGGTGAAAACTTTCTACATGATGAATGTGTTCAAAGGCATTTCTCAACTGGATGCTGTTTTAAAGAACTCATATATAAATCATCTGTACGATAGTACTGAGGTATTTCTTTTCCCCCCCAAAAAAATGGCAAGGACATCACGTATCTCTGTACACTATCAGCTTTAGTCACATTAAGTTTATAAATATGAAATGCAACTTCGTTCAGACTTATTTTGATAAACTGTTCTGATGGTAAAGTGTTGTGAATAAGCAAATCATGTTTTACTATAATTTTAGGTATAGTTTTTTTACTGTTTTATTTAAGTAAACATATAACATTTTCTCTTGATTTTATGCATGATGTAAAATTATCCATTATTACAGGCTTGATGAATCTATTCAATTAATCCCTTCAAGCAGACTAACAAAAGTTTCTATGACATTTTCCGGATGACTTTACAATAACTTTATGCATCTCGTTGCTCATACTTTCAAATGAATGCCTTAATGCCTCGTGTTTTGTCCCAGCATCATGCACTGAAATTCCTACTTTTGAAGACTCTGAGCAACCTTTAGTTGTCTATACTCTAGTTGCAGAGGAGATTGTTTTAAGGTAATTCCACAGCATTCATCGCTTACTTTACATGAAATGAAATGTATGGAGATAATGAACAATATATTCAAGCTGAAAAGTCCATTAAACAATACAAATTTTGGAACAGAGCAACACGGACCTCTAAAACATCAGAGGTCGGATCAGGTACCATGGAGGGGTGAACAATCCTGCCGACCGGTCACACCCGCCGTGTGCTCCTTGTCATGATCGGGAAATAACGGAAAAATCTGTCGACAATTCAGTGTATAAATAATGGCCTAACAATTAGTATGAAAAGCGGCAGTCAGCATTTGACTTTATGATAAATTGTGTTTGCTGACAAGGTCATTGTATCGACCATAAAACTAGAAAAGACGACTTTAAAGGAGACTCATGGTATTCTTGTTTCATCAACTTGTTTGTCATATTTGATATGGCCTTTTTGCAAATTACAATTGAAACTTGCACTAAATTACTTAATTACTTTTTTAGCCTTTTTTCCCTATCTTTTTTTATCTGAATGACTCGAGGCAACAAATACATTCTTCTTTCATGTAGAATAGATACACTGAAAATTTTGTCCCTCCCCCAAATCCAAAGTATTCAAATGCGCATCATCAAGTATGTGACATTTTTGCACTCATACAATGCCATTTTTCTGGCATTAAAAATTTAACAAGCAATGAAGCTATATATTTGAAAGTCTTCAGATTTTAAGTAAATTGACACCGGTAAATAATATATTAATTTTTCTGAAAAATAAATGTTGGGGGTTAGTTTTCTTAAGTTTGAGATATTGCCAAAATATGTTAATTTTAGTATAAAATTTGAGATATTTTTCTCTTTTACTTTTCCAATATATTTGCAATGTTTGTCAAAGATTGACGACAGTATTTAATCTTACATGAAATTTGAGATCAACAAATGATGTGTCTCTGTACAAAATTACTGTAAAAGTAGTTTGCATTGATTTCTAGGAAGTCAAATTTAAAAATACTGTTAAGACTTTATAATAGAAAATTTATCATTTTCTTTAAAAAAAAATCTTCCTTATGTAAGTCTTTGTTAATGAAATTTAAGAGTAAGTTTTTTTTTCATTGATGTGGTTTATTTAAAATTGTAAAATCCCAATATATTGATAAAACAAAGATATGACACAGAATTTTAGACTTGAGGTTCAGGCAAAAATCGACACAAAAGCTGAGAATCGAACCTCCTTTATTAATGAAACATTACAAGTTTAGACTTTGAAAATACGATGTGCAAGAAAATTTTAATAAAAGAAAAGTTTGAAAAGCATTAGACATATATACTATATTTATCCATTAAAAATCTTTTTTAAAGACATGGAAGAAAGCGAGGATCGGTATAGGCTTCAATCTATAAAATCTTTTAGGCTACTAGGATGACAATATCTTTATTTGGAAAAGGGTGAATTTTTTTTTACACATTTATGTTACGCAATTCAATGGATACAAAATTATCTATAACAAGAGATTATTATAGAAGAAATGAAATTGAATGTAGTTGATTTTTTAATTCACACTCAATTTGGTAAATTCATAGAAAGTAGAACATGACTTCTAGGTGACAATGGTCGTAAAGAAGTTTAAAAGTTTTCAAAAAAACTAAAAAAGAATCTGGTACAATCAAAAAGAAAAACACAAACCAATCTTTCAACAATGACACAGTTCTTACTATTTGATGTTGTAAGAACTTAAACTTCCGCATCCTTCGCAGACTTACAATTAGCGAGAAGCATACATACTAAGACAGATACGAAACCACAAATATAAATGGTTACTTGAAGCTACTGAAGGTATATTTTTTTCTCTGTAACTTATATATAAATCTCCAAGCGTATAATATGCAAGGAAATTTTGTCATCCATATTTATATATAAAATATTCAGAAAAGAATCAATTATGTTGCAAACCGATTATTTTTAATTATGTTAGGTTAGGTTAGGTTTTAATTATGTTAGGTTATGTTAGGTTTTAATTATGTTAGGTTATGTTAGGTTTTAATTATGTTAGGTTATGTTAGGTTTTAATTATGTTAGGTTATGTTAGGTTTTAATTATGTTAGGTTATGTTAGGTTTTAATTATGTTAGGTTATGTTAGGTTTTAATTATGTTAGGTTATGTTAGGTTTTAATTATGTTAGGTTTGAGTTCGTCCTACAGTAACCACAATGGGTTAAAGCTGAGTACGCCTATTTTCACAAATGACCTGGTTTATTAATTTTATATTCCTGACACTTTTAAAAAACCTATATATATTCAATAATAAGATTGAAAACACAAAAACTTCTTGGGATCTTTAGAATATGCTTGTAATCTGAAAAGCCATTTCAAAATACTCACGCCAAAAGTGCATAAGTGCAGGTATTCATATTTTCTTGTTTCTAGAAGGGCTTCTTTTTTCCCCTGACATTTCAGATTATGAAGGCACGTAGCATTGTTTTTCAAAGGAAAGGTGGGGAAGTCAGAAATATATATATATATATATACCGAGAGTTCTTTTCTTTATACACGCAGCAATATATCTGAATATGTGAAGTCATTCCGTTGTTTTAATTAATTTTTTTTTTAGAAATACAGAAGTTGCTTCTTTTGACTCTTTTCTTTTGTTTCTTTTTTCTTTCTCTTTTTTTTAAACTAAAGTTTGGAATGTGACCTCGTTGAATTTTCATTTATTGAATACAATACCAGATTTTTGTACATTATTATAATAATGATTTGGAAATAGTTTAGCTCTCCATTATCAAATCTAATTTACAAAAAAGTGGTTCTTTAGGATACCTCGGCACTCTGTTTTTAAAATTGATTTAGAATAAACTTTTTGATTAATTTCAGCATTCTTCTAACAATATGAACATTAAAGATTTTGAATCATATACTTACGTGCCATGCTTTAAGACACATAATAATAATGGAATTTAATTACGCTATGATTTATCTTTACTTACTAATATGAAGCAACGGCAAAGAAATAAACAAAGTTACATAGAACAAGCGAAAAAACAGAAAAAATCAAACAAAAGCGATCAGTGGCCATTCCTATATCTTTCCACGTCATAGAATTAGTGGCTTTGTTTACGGATATATCTTCAGCAGATGACTTCTCGTCGTCTGTCACCTTCCGCTTTCGCCTAAACAGGGAGCTCCAGCAAGTTTGGGGAAACATCATTCTGTGAAACAGCTGCAAAACCCTAGGAATAACTTTCATCTCCTCACGATGATAATAGCGCAATCCCATGATAACTCCGACCACGATGACAATTCCTATGATGAATTCTACCAAGAGTTTGTAGCTAAGGTAGGCCACGCTGGGCTCTGAAGCTTCTGGTAATTTGTCTTGTATTAACGTCAAATAGACAGCGACAGCCAACAGGACGGTGACAGCAAATCCAACACGTTCACCAGATTCAGGCGGCATTAGAAAAACAAATAACTGGAGGAAAGAGAGGAAACAGATCGGGAGGATTAAACTAGATATATAGTAGGCAGATCGTCTCTTCATACTAACGGATACTCGTACCTCTTGAAACCCAAGTGCGTTGGTTGTGGTGTAAATATGTGCTTTAATCACTTGCCAAAGGCCATTCTCACTGTATATTGACATGTTTGCTTTTTTGTTGGTTTCTGAGATATTAAATAATAGTTCCGATGGACCGTATCCTGTGACATAGAACGGTAACATACAAGTCTGAGAATCAAAGGGATATTTGGACAAATCAAAGTCACACGTACTTTCGTAAAGGTTAGGAATAGTCCAAGATATATGTCCATTACTCTCTACTCCCAGAGTCAATTCGTTATGTCCAGTATACTTAACTTCACCGTAATCCTGCATATTCAAAAGAAATGGTACCCATATCTTCTTTTGGGGGACAATGATGGAATATAGATTCCCGCCGTAGTGTTGTGGATTCCAGGTCAAACGATCATCAATCCAATAGACACCCAAAGCTCCCGTAATTGAGAATTTACCAAGAGATTCACCCAACTCCTTTACGCTTTTTAAGATAAAGGTGCTATCAATTTGTAATGGAACGTCCCTGTTAAGCCCTGGTCGGATGTTTCTGTCGTACGTAGAGTTGAAAATAGCGGCGTGGAGGTCCAATTCATTGTTCAGAGTGTAAGTCAGCGAAAAAGGGACAAAACAAAAGAGGAATATTAAGATGTCTAATAAACCCTTCGAGCTCTTTTGCCTGTTCTCCATTAAGAAAACAAGAATACTAGTAAAGCAATAGCGTGATTATTTATCTTTTTATACATATTGAAGAGAATTGGCTAATCAGAGCGTAAAAATTAAATGGTTCAACACATTGAATTTTAAAAATCAAGTTACAATTTTGTCTCTTTTTTTGTTTTTCAAGACTTGCTTGATATATAGGGTAAATATTTTACATTAAATGGAATAAGGGGTTTGCCACATGTTCTGTTGATGATGAACAATTATGAATTACATTGTCGATGACACAAACAGTATCCTACCATATCCTCTTTTGTTTGTGGATATTTAAATTTCTACCTTAATACATTCAAATGTACTTATGTATTAATTAAAGCTCTTCATACTTTTTCAAAGACATCATGCAAATAAAATAAGAAAGGACTTCTAAAAATACTTTGCTTTGCCTTTGAGGATGATGTCAAAATGACGGTTTACTCTAGAGTCGATATTTTTCACAAAAGATGATAGAAATGATTGACACATGTTAATATGTAATTGCATTGTCGCATTTTGTACGACTGGGCTCAATTCTCATTTGCAGTCCAACTAAATTATTTCATAGTACAAGCTTTGTCATTCAAAATTGCTTTCTCTCTCTCTCTCTCTCTCTCTCTCTCTCTCTCTCTCTCTCTCTCTCTTTTTTTTTTCCTATGAAAGGTATGAGTTTTCGTGGTACATTGAATATAAAGGTTTTTCTTCTTGTTTTTAGTTAGATTAACACACCGGTATCTTCCCAACTTAAAAATAATCAGTTTAAGAAAAGTTAATATCCGTTTTAAATGGATAATTGGTCAATTTAATGTAAGCGGGTGTGTAACCAAATATTTCTTTAATTGATTATGGTTAAAATCGAGTTTTACCTTTTACATAACCAAACACCCAATCATTACAAAGGATCCATTACAAAGCAAATTTAATCAAGCATATATTATTTAAATCTAAAAAGTTCAAATCTACGTACTTTTTAACAAATACAATTTCGACAATAGCATTGTATGTTTTTTACTGAGTATATCACGACAGACTTAAAAAGGGAATGAGAAAAGCACCGCTCCAAATTTACCAGGTCTGTGAACCCCTGTCAATCAGCTGAAGTTAAGCCTGGGATTAGATACAGACAGGCTATTGACAGATAAGTTGATGCTACAGGGATTTTAACAACTTGCTGACTTGTTTAAAGTCAGCATTTTGCAAATTCTATGGTAGTTATAATGACCATGTTTGCAAATATAATTCATCATTGGGTCGTATTTTGAACATCATATTCATTATGCCAATAGTTAGGCCTTTGATTTTATACTAAGTTTGACTATGGAATATTCCGTCTTCCTGATCAATACACAGGGTTCATGGTGGATGTGACCGGTCAATAGAGGATTCTTACTCCCCCAAGGCATCTAATCCCACTTTGGAAATAAGGCAATTATGAAATTATTCAAATAATTACCTAAACTTGTAGAAGAAAGCATTCAGTTCATGAAATTTTGTCGCCGTAGTCTATTTCTAGATTTTTTTATAATCTCCAACTCCTATCTATCAAAATGCGCAAAATGTTGTCACAATAACGTCAAAATGACGTACATATGTATTTGATTTATCGATTTTTCCAGCTAACTCTGGGCCCACCTGCACTTAGTAGGTAGATGTCGGTTAGCTGATTTCGCGACTGCCACAGAAACCCCTACACATTAATATACATTTATCATTTAGAAATATTTCTGACGTTTGTTAATTGTGAGTAACTGCCTCTGTATGCGTCTAAAAGAATACGATAAAATCCAGATTCTTAGCATTGATTTAAATTGTAATTACCATTGTTTTTAACTATTTATTTTAAGAAAGATATTTAATCTGACTCAGAGTCTCACAATGAAGCCAGTATTTGGAATTCCTCATCCTTATTGGCCTCTTAGCAGTAAAACCGGAGGGAACTATAGGTTACCTCCTTGTCTGTCTGTCCGTCTGCCTTTCCTTCTGTCTGTCTGTTAGTCTGTCCCACTTAGTTTTCAGCACTTTTTTCTAAACGCTTGCAGATATTGAGCTGATTTATATCACGTGAGTGAATCTTAATGAGTACCAGATCAAGTTTTGAATTTGAATTTTCGAATTTCGCTACACTGATTTTTGACTGAGTTTCTGTCCTTTTAAATTTCTAAGGGGAACCAAGCTTCTTCTACAGATATTCCGCACTTTTTCATTAAATGTTTGCAGATATTGGGCTGATTTTTTGGTATGCTAGTCCATCTTAATGAGTTAAAGATCAAGTTTGCATTTTGTTCTGCTTCAATATTTTTTTTATGGAATTAAGGCCTTTTCAATTTTTAAGGAGAACCAATAACACTTTTCGGTAGGGGACTAGTATTGCCTATGCAATACTGAAAATGCAGAGGTTTTATAGCATAAGTACGAAAAGTATAATATTTAAATGCAAATATTGTAACGTAATTAATTTGTTTTTATATTATAGTTTACATTTGGGCCTCCTGAAACCAGCTACCTACCAACAGCAACCCTATCAAGATTAAAATTTGAACTAACGTAAATAAATGTAGCATTTAAAATTAAAGACGTAAGCCATTTTTCCTTTTGTGGGGTTCACCCGGCCTGCTTGCGACAGTTATCCTCAAGAATACTTTCAAAAAATCATTCTTATTCTATACATAAGTACTTTGAAGTTATCATTAAAAATATGCTTGGTTCCTGATTGACAATGCCTTTGTAGTCCTAGGAGACCTTGTTCTTCCAACAGTATGTTGGAAAATCCTATGTACTCCTTCATTAGCTTACCTGCCTTGATATTCTTATGGAGCAAAATTTATTTTAAAAATGTCTACACGAGAAGAAAATAAATTTGATGTAGATGGTGCCGTCAAATCGACATTTCGATAAACCGACGACATATTATCAATTAGCTATATCTTCTTCCGTTCACACGCCGACTCGATATAAATATCCTAAACGAACTCGAAATAAAGGCACCACGGAGTTTGCCACATCGGTTTTTTATTTGAATGTTTTATTGACAATAGACTTGAATGGCAAACTAACAACTAAACTATATGACAATCAGGACGAGTTAATTTTTTCATCGCCAACTACCCCTATATATGTAATTTTATGCCATTATCAACTACAAAAGGTATCTATGTCCCATGACTGATTCGTACGCAAGAGCATGTTCTGGCTACGATCAGTTTTTAAACTGAGGCAGGCTATTGACAAATTGACAAATAAGTTAATATAACAAGGCCTTCTACCTTGCATTTTACCAAATCTATGGCTGTTATTATATGCAAATACAACCTCTCCTCGGGTCGTATTTTGCTAGATATGTTTCAGACCAATTGTTAGGCTATTGCTTTTATATACTTATTTCGACAAAAGAATTACTGCATTAACCTGGTTAATACAGAGTGCTCACAGCATCCCACATCTTGTCGTTACATTTCCAGAGGTCCGTGTTTTGTCTAATTCAAGATCACCCAAATCCCCAGAAACTTTAATGTTTCTTGATCATTATATAATCAACGTGGAAATTAAGATTTGTATGATAATTATTTCCCCTGTTAGTGCCACTTAACTCTTAGGGCTGTATGACCATTTATCAAGGATTGTGGTTACCCATACACCTATTTGATTCATTTCATTCAAACCTGAATTCGTTTATATAATATACGCTGCTTTAAAAGTTGTTCACAACAGACCTGGATTCAGTTCATGTTTTTTCATGCAATTTGAATAATTTTTAATGTATCAATATATTCGAGTCATTTATGTCTAACAGGGGTCGGTTTACGTAAAGTATTGCGATTATCATTACATATGTTTTAGGCCTGTATTTTGTGTAGGTACCTGTTGTATACGTGTACAATATTGTTTGGACATATTATTCCATACCTGCATTTTTTTTAGTTATTGTCTTTCACTCTTTGGATCCTTTGAAAGGGGATCACGCACTGGGCAGAACATTGCAACGTGGTACGATAGATTGAATCTAAAAATCTTATTGCAACTTTGAGCATGAGGTGAAATCAGTTCAGTGGAAGAAATATGCTGAACTTGAGACTTTATTTTTAGTGTAACTTTGACATAATACTTCAATACATGAGTTCGTTTCTATCTTGATAAATATTGGATTCAAAAATAAAATACAGTATATGAAAGCGCACCTGAATGCACAATGCTAGAAATTAGTCCTAGTCTGAGATATCAATGTTGTGAAATGCAGAAATTGACAATACTTTTCTTGTTTTCTCCGGACTAAAAAAATGAATGAGACATACAGTGTATCTCGGAATTAGGATTTATTGCAGATTCACTATTAATCAAACAAACAACAGATATTATTTTGCTTGTTTAATTTGGCGCTTCTGGCCGCGGTGATCAATTTGCTGGGGCTACCACAAGGCTGCCCCACAATCAACAATCAATACAACAAATGTGACGACCCAAATCGGGCGGATCATGCACTGGGTAGGTCACAAGTGCATGAACGTCACCAATTCAATTATCAATCAAGTTCAATCAATCAATCAATCAAATTCAATCAATCAATCATCAATCAATCAATCAATTCAATATCAATCAAGTCAACTGCTTGTCAATTACAAGCCAATGCACAAATTCAAATCCTGAATTTCAATTTACATGTGCAATAGGATAAACAATGGAATGAGCGTAAGAATATGTGTTGAACTCCTCCAGTTGCGTTGAGGTGCGACGGAATACGCAAACACACAGAATTACCACCGCGACATCGGTTGAAGTGGACGCTGTACCCAGCAGGCAGTCATCACGGAATACGCAAACTCACAGAATTCACCACCTTCACATAGGCTAATGTGGACGCTGAATCAATCAGGCTGTATTTACGGAATACGCAAACACACAAAATTCACCATCGCCACATTGGCTGATGTAGGTGCTGGACCAAGCAAGCTGTCCTTACGGAATATGCAAATACACATAATCTACCATCGCGACAT